AGCACAGGGAAGGGCCTCTGCCTGGGTGTTAGTGCTCTTATCTTGTCAGAGATAAGATGCAGCCACGAGGAGGCCTGTGCAAGTGTACACGATATCCCAGGAGCCACTGTGCAGTGACTTGTCGTTAACTACCCATAATGGATGGAAACAGTACCAGAGGGCTTCAGTAATGAAGTCTTAATGTGATAGATACGGCTGAATGAGAACAGGCTCATTTGGATGTTCAGCAGTATTCTGTGGGGTGTCATTGGCGAGTGCAGAATATTGCATACAAATCTACTGGCACTCATTAATGTGCCTGCTTTACCTGGTGTTCCAGTGCGCTGCTCCCCAATAACTCCTCCTGAAAAACCAAATCCATAGTTTAAAGGCATCGTTCAGATTAATTTGTCATGACAACAGAGCTGGATTTGCAGTGAGAAAGAAAAGATGGAAACTTAAATGAAAGTAGCTGCAGCGGCTGTTGCTGCATGAAGTTTCTGTGAAGGCCATTAAAGGAACAGTAAATGTCCTTTTATTACTGCACAAATGAACAACTGGGTAAGTGTTGAGGAAATGAACTGAAGGTCTGCTGTTTTGCTATATGTTTGCTTTGATTTACAGTAAGAAACCCATGCTGCCAGGATGTGTTCTGTGTTCTATGGTTGTGTGCTCGCAGGTGGACACAGATGCTGGACCATCTCCATGTCACTATTTGGTACTGAGCTGTGGCTCTGGCTCAGACTTTCATGGATATTCATATTCAGTAGAGCCATTCATGATAAGTAAATAATGCACTCAACAGTAAAGCAATTCTGCAACGTGAAATACTTTTTCTAAAACATTTTGCTTTGTAGGAAGAATTACTGAAACGTCTTTAATTTTTGATCGGTGAGATCTGCAGAAGACATGAATAATGTATGGGCATGCGCAGGGGCTGGAAGCGGGGTGTCTGCTCTGCTGCTGGAGCACCTCCCATTGAGGGCAGCTTTGCTAATGAGAAAAACATCTTACAGTGCGATGCCTTTCCAAATCTGAAAGCAGTCAGTTGGAGCTGCTGCAACTGCTGCTCTCTGTTTGGCTACGCCTTTAAGAGCACCACATTTCTGAGCGTCTGTTTTGTCAGCATTTGGGATGCAAGTAAAAGTGCAACCTTTTAAAATCAGAGAAGAGTTCTAGCCGTTTCAGAAGTAATTATTTCTAATAATTTTTAATCAGATAAATTCAACTTTAGGCGGTGTCTCAAAAGCCAGAAATAACGCGAGTTACTTCTGCATGTTAAAAGCACGGACTCCTTTCTATACCTCCTCAGGTGACTACAGACAATTCCACCTAGTAAACTCCCAGGGCAGTGGGCACAGCCCTGAGCTGCTGGAGCTCAGGTAGTGTTTGGACACATCTCTCAGCCATAATGTTTGCATTTGGTGATCATTAAGCAATCATCAGTACGAACAAGGTGACGCATCCTTTTTCCCATTGTGATTGGCTGGACGTGTGAGATTTGTGTCTGCACTTGGGATTTGATGACTGATGTAATTGGAGCAGCTTGTGTGCATTCAAGAAAATGTAGTGTAGAGAATGCCCAATATGCCAGCTGTCTTTGAGCACACCAAAGAGAAATTTAAGGACTTCTGCATTGGTATTACTTTTCTGCAAGATGGTTGCATAACTAAGGGGGACGGTTGGACAGATTCGAGTTTCCTAAATAGATGGTGTCTTTCTGCCTCCGACACAGAACAGAAATGATTGCTTTTCATTATGAGAGAACTAGCATGAAAATAGGGCAGAATCTGGAGTAATGAGATTTTGCATTCTCTTTGAAACCAAATAAAGTAAATATGGCTTTTAAAAAATAATACTGATTTACTATCTCAGTAATCATGAGCTTTTCTGTTACTTTCAGGCATCTTTAGTCTTTGGTCCTCTATTAATTCCAATTGAGAAACGACAGTGGCGAATACTTGCTGACTTGCAATGTGGAGTGCCAAATAAAAATAAAGCTTTCAGGAGGTCTCACCATTTTGTCAGTCTGCCCCTTTGTTGTAAGGGGATAGAGGGGAATATTGGTGGGAAGGTTCAACCTCTACTGCCCTCCCACCAACATCTGCCTCTGACATGGTGGACCAGCGCCATACCATAGGAGGCATTACTTCTGGAGCAGCCCTAATGTTCCTCTGTTACAAAATAAGTGATGCACAACGCGATTGCTCACCATCTACTGGCTGATGCCCAGCCCACCCCTCAGCTGCAGCCCACCCCCAGCCGCCTCCCCTCACGTCTATAATTTTTTCTCATGATGTCACCTGGTATGGAATATCCTTTTGGCCAGTTTAGGTCAGCTGTCATGGTTCTGTCCCTCCTCAGTATCCCCCACCCCCAGCCCCTGTCTTACAGGACAGCAGGAGGAGCTGAAGCTTTGGCCCTGCCTGCGCAGAGTGCTGGACGCAGTGCTGCTGCAGCTGCAGGAGCCTTTGTCCCAAAGCAGAGGAACAGTAACCAGCCTGGAAGTTTTCCATGCATGTGAGATTTGCTTTTCTTGAAAAAAAGTTGCATGAACAGATATAGGGATAGGTGTTTGTTTCCAAGTAGTTGACACTGGGGAAATCCCACTGAAGGGAGGTGAAAGATGGGTGGTGTTTGCCAATGTTAAGTGAGAAGCTTGTTGATTCTCTAAAAGCAAAGCATGCTGCCAGGTTTTTCCAGCAGTTAGTGAGTGAGTTAATAATCACAGTTCCGTAATTAAAAGCCTGTTTGCTGTTTTTATTTAAATTTGGAAAAGACAGGCTCCTTTGTACAGGTGCTCTTTTTGCATTGCTGTATGAGTATATTGCACAGCCATGTGTCCGTCTCCAGGGGTCAGAGGGTTATGCTATCTTTGTAACAGAAACAGCGTTCTTATTATGTTATCATATAAAATATGGATTTTAATATTAAACTTAATGCTCTGCTATGAGGAATATGTAAACTTGGCTTCAGAGCAGCAGCATGCACTTCCTGGAATCCTGTGCATAGTGGGGGTATAAATAAACGCAGGTTCTTTGGAATTCAGTGGGGCTGATATCTGGTGTCATTAACAGGATCTGCCAGAATTTGTATTCCCTGACAGACAGTTGATTTTTGATTAATGCAAGATGCTTTATTTTGAAAATCAATATCTTAGAAGATTAATGAATACCAGATATAAATCCAGCACAGTGATTGGCAAAGCAAATGCACGTATGTTATTTAATTACTGTATGTCTTGTCTGTTGCCAAAATTTCATTCCTTTGGAAATGTCATATTCAGCAGTCAAATTTAGATTGAGGTGCTGGAAGTCATCATTTTTAGGTGAGGTATGAAAACAGGGATAAGCACAGGGTAGCGCAGGCAACTTCTGGTTTTGAGATAAACTGGTTTCAAAGGGAATTATTTCTTATTTATGCGTTAGTATATAGTGCTGGCAACTGCTAACTGTAAGAGCTGCTCAGTGTTGTGTCAGTTCTGAGGTGTCCCTAAGTGAGAAAGGTAATGCCTGAGCAGCATTCAGAAGGCACACAGCTTGAACAGAAATGTCTGTGTGGTCAGGATGCAGATGTTTTCTGCTAGAACAGCTGCACCCACTGCCGCTGTATGTATTGATCAGGAATCACTGTTTGGTGAGAATAGGATTTACTGAGTGATGACAGTATGTGTTCTCCCTCTGGAAGTTATCCTCTTTGTCCACCTCTGCTAACATGCTCTGTTCCTTTTCTTCTGTCCTTGCAAGCACATTCCTGGGCTCCATCAGCAGAGGGGTGGCCAGCAGGGACAGGGAGGTGATTGTCCCCCTCTGCTCTGCTCCTGTGAGGCCCCATCTGCAGTACTGTGTCCAGGTCTGGAGCCTCCAGCACAAGAAAGACAGGGAGCTGTTGGAGAGGGTCCAGAGGAGCCACAGAGATGATCAGGGGACTGGAGCATCTCCCCTACGAGGACAGGCTGAGGGAGCTGGGCTTGTTCAGCATGGAGAAAAGAAGGCTGTGGGGTGACCTCATGGCAGCCTTTCAGTACCTAGAGGGAGCCTGCAAACAGGAGGGGAGTCAACTCTTGGAAAGGGGAGATAACGGCAGGACAAGGGGAAATGGTTTGAAGTTGAGGGAGGGAAGATTGAGGTTGGATGTCAGGGGAAGCTCTTTGCTATGAGAGTGGTGAGGTGCTGCAACAGCTGCCAGAGAGGCTGTGATGCCCCGTCCATCCATGGAGGTGTTCAAGGCCAGGTTGGATGGGGCCCTGGGCAGCCTGGGCTGCTATGAAATGTGGAGGTTGGTGGCCTTGTGTGTGGCAGGGGGTTGGAGCTTTGTGATCCTTGAGGTCCCTTCCAACCGTGGCCATTCTGTGATTCCGTGATTGCCAGAAGTGCTCTGAGAAGCGCTGTGTCAATGTTTGTGCTGTGGGAGGTGGGAGGTGTGGATGGGTGGTTTGGCCCTTGGGTACCACCTGTTTAGACATCATCAGGTGTCACTGGGCGCTGGAGAGATGAGGCTGCCAACAAGTTCTACTTCCTGCTTTCTCTTTGGTAAAATTACAAGCTCTTAGCTGAGGGGAAACTGTTTGCAATTCATGCAGCTGTACCTTCACTGGTGGGACATTAGTTTTTCCTCCCTTCCGCATTAGTTTTGAATGTGAGGTTCTCCTTAAACTAAAGGTAAAAAAGTAACTAAGCTTGGGCAGGAACACATGCTGAACTGCTATGTCATGCAGCTTTTTAAATGTGTGTTGAGCCAAGAATTCATGCACAGAGTGGATTATCATTTTGTATTTTGAATTATGCATAGGTCATTAGAGGAGGCACTGGAATTTCACCAGCACTCAACACCCACGCTGTGGACTAAAAAGCCATTTTGAAGTGTCAGAGCGTTCTGTTGGAATAGCTGAATTCTACAGAACTGTATTTATTCCTGCTTCATTGTGACTGGATTGGTGTTCATCCTTTTTTACTTCTCTGGTGTAAAGAGGACCTCATGGGTAAAATTGCTTATTTTCTGCTTTTTCTTTTCTTTGACAGACTAGAGACGACTTCCTGGGCCAGGTGGATGTGCCTCTTAGCCACCTTCCGGTAAGAAATGCTTTGGTCCATGTGCTTTTTTTTGTGATCCCCAGCTGTTAAAAGCTCATGACAATTTACTGAAATAAATTCAACTTAAAGCACATATTCCCAGTAGAGCCACAGAGGCTGAAAGAAAAATCTCACAAAAATAGAGCCCCGCTCTGCAGAGGTGTCTGCAGTTGTCCCCTTTGCAGAGGCTAGGGAGGTGGTGATTCTCTGGCGCCCACTGACGTTTCCAAAATCCAGATTTCTCTTCTGGTCCATTTCTCATCCTGATTCTTTCTTAAAATCCTTGTCTGGCCTGAGTCAGATGATGAATGACACAGCCAAGCTCCATTTCTTCCTGAACTTCTGTTGAAAGTGTTGAAGAAAATAAAAATGTTTTTTGGTCCCATTTATTTGTCTACGTAATGTGTGGCTAAGGTTATGGGAGAAGATTATCACTCTATCATCAGGTTTTCATAGATGTTCTTTTCATATAACATGTTCAACATTCAGAAACTGCTCAACACTGTCCTTAATGTAATCTTAGTCCAATGAAGACGGCGGCAGAATTATTACAGACTGCAGTGCATGAAAGCTTTCAGTGCCAGTACTGAAAAAGTTTGAGGGAGAGCTCTGTGCTTCTGCTGTCAGTAGGTGGGCCCTGATCACATCTGTTTCTGTTGTTTCACTCGGGTTGGCACGTGCTGAAAAGGCCAGAGACAGTGCTGGATTGGAGACAGGGATGCTGTAATGAAAGGCAGATAACTAAACATCAGGATGTTTGTGATTGTGATGGTGGGTATTTATGAGGAAATGTGCTGCAAAGTATAAAATGATGCTGTAAGTTTTACTGTGTGCCTATTTTGCAGAGTCAGGTAGTATTTTACAGTTCTGTTTTTAGTGACCATTAGTTTTAGTTATTACAAATCATGAACGAGAGTTGAGAGAGCTGCAAGCATGTCACACACTTTCTGTGAACTGTCTTGAGAAATTAGCAGCTTTCTTCCTTCCACACTGCATAAGAGGTTGACTCTTCCTATACATGGGAAGCTTCACTGTCCTCTCTGTGGTCTTAGCTGGCACTTGAGTTTGCATCTCTCTAGCTCACATTCAAAACAGTGGAATGCTACACTTACTCTTTCAAATTGTTTTTAGACTTCTACTGTCTTTACATAGAAACTGATAAATTAAAATTTCCTAGCTGCTTCACTGCAGAATAAATTCAACTGTGCTAAGATGAGAAAAGTTTATACTTAGTACCCCCCACTTCTTTCCATGGAGGCTCACTAGAAAGTGAATGTGCTTCCTTTACAAAATCCCTTCTTTGCATGTTTGCAGATAATTTCTTTAGCTCCAGAAGGTGTTTTCTTCTAAATTTCCCTTGCAAATACTTGCAATTTGTATCTCAGAACCATTGCACTGAGAGGCACACAGCAGTGCCTGCACAGGGTGCTTTCCTGCCCATGCAGATGTACTCAAACTCTGTAACAGTGACTTACATTGTGCTTTCTAAGGTCTGCACTAATTTAATGCTCAGGGAAACATCCTCTGTGACTTTTTATTTTAATCAGTGTTTTCCTCATTCATCCTTCCTATACACTGATAGGAGAGATTGTGATACATTCACTAGCAAATGTTTTCTTTTAGCTGTAGAATTGTTTGGCAGAATCCTGGTTCTCTCTGACCTTATCCAACCTTTCTCAGCAAAACTTGGTTAAAGTACACACCTTTTACTTAATGTACATTGAATAGAGATGAGACTACTAAAAGGCAATACTATATAATCAGGCATGCTTCACAGTGCTGTTGGTTTGATTAAAAGCTGCTATCTCTGAGAAAATGGGAAGTCTGTCTCAGACAGATTAAGTGGAAACTTAATGCAGGAAATGCCTTGCAGGATGTTCTGTGACAAGCTAATCTGTATGGCATTGGATGTAAAATCTGTGATTATGAGTTGGAATTCATTTTTAATTTACTGTTTATTGACTTTGAGGTAATACCTGGGAGATAGATTATCCTGTGTCTACAAAAGTCTAGTAAAGGAATTGCACACAAGTAGTATTCCTGTCAGTAAAGATAGGGCTTGTAAGGGCTTTGTAGATATGCTATCGTTTTCTGTAATTGCTGGCAGATGGGAGCAACATTCTTCTAGTTGTGCTCATATTAAGAAAATTTTCTGTAAATGTGGTCTTCATTGTAGCACGTGCTTACATGTTCAGTATAACACAGGCCATACTTCCAATTTCGTAGCCCCAGCCATACAATAAGCAGTGCACCCCTTAAATCAGAAGATTTAATCTGTGTATGGATTTCTGCCTCTCGTATTTGCCTTCTCATTTCTAAATTTCTAGTTCTGCACCAATAATGGCCCTCATTTCACAGACACGGCGAGTGCAGCAGATCTGAATTTCTTTTAAGGTTTAAAGCTTTATGAAACTTCCAGCTGAATGTAAATCAGACAACGCAGCCTGTCAACCTGCAAATATTACTGATCTGCCCCATAAAGAATTTCAACCTCTCACTGTTTTTCAAAGTCTAAACAGCTTTGAAATAAGAAACAAAAGCTAGCTGAGCTGTATTTTTTTTAATAGTTTCCTAATATGCATAACAAACAGCCCTTCAGGTGGATGCATCCTCGTCTGGCAGTGCTGTTGGGTGGCAGCAGAAAGTTGGCAGGGGTTTGCTTTATGGGATCTTCCAGATCTTGCTGTGTGGGTTTCCATGCAGCGATGAGGCAGAGTTCAGCCCATTGCTGGTATTTGCAGTGACATCTAGTGGACCTCTTGTGCAGCTGTATATTAACCACCCACCCACCCAGGGTAACCCACACTGTAGAATCTTCTCTAGCAACGTCTGCAATGTGAATGTTCCTTATGTACTACTGTGCTTGTGGGCAAGCCCTTTAAGTTGTCATTTTCTTACATACTTGTAGACTGAAGACCCAACCATGGAAAGGCCATATACATTTAAGGATTTCCTTCTCAGACCAAGAAGGTGAGGATTTGTATTTGTATTTTAAAACATTTCTTACTTCAAGGTTTATTACTTGCAGCTGTTGAAGAGCTATTCAATTAAATGTAACTTCGTGTCTTCTAGTCACAAGTCTCGTGTAAAGGGTTTCTTGAGACTGAAGATGGCTTACATGCCTAAGAATGGTGGCCAAGAGGAAGAAAATAGCGATCAAAGGGATGAGTCTGAGGTAAGACAATCAAGAGGTCACTATCTGATATCTTCTTTTTGTCATTCTTATGCATCTGGAGGTGTGTAAGTTATTAGAGTTTCAGATAGAATCTTAGAAGAAGTTGTGGTTTTGAAAGATAAAATGATGGTGTTAGTTTAGCTTCAACATATTCTTCCCCTCCCATGCTTTCAAAACCATAAGGTGATATTTTCTCTACTGTTTCAAGTGGCACAATGAATACTGAAGTCTCTCTGATTCAGTTGTGGTGTGGGTTTTTTTTCCATTTTCATGAGCATTCCCAAGGCTGCATAAGTCACGCCAAGAGAGCAGAAGAATTTGAAAAGTCTATCCACGTAATTCATATTTGACATAAGCGTGATGGTCTGTTTTCAATATCTAAGCATGTCTTCCTCTGTAGTGTGTCCAAGTTAGCTGTTGGAACATTTTTCTTTATTTTCTTGGCAGCACCAGCTTTACAGAGAATAGTGCTCATGCGGGTACAGCAGGTTTAAAGACTTCCCAGCACTCCTACCACCATCATCCATTTTAAGAATTACTGTAATTAGAGCTGACAGAGTGGATGTTAGCCCAAGTTTGCTTTAATTACTAATAATGGGCAGTCATCTGTAATTGGAGAAGGAGGGCTGTTGTCCCAAGCCATACATCTGTGTTCTGCAGCTTCTCAGGAGGTCTGCCCAAGAGCTGGTGCAGAGGCAGCTGAGGTGTCTCAGGGCACGCAGTAATGCAGCACCTCAGTTCATCGCCTTCAGCACTTCACAAATTCAAAACTCAGCTTTATTTCTCTCTCATCATGTACAAAAAAGGTGTGTGTATGTGTGTGTAAATATGCTTGTATTTTGTGTGTGTATGTGTATTTATAATACAATTTGCATAAAAATCTGAGAAGTTTATATACGTATATATATGTGTCACACTCAGACATATTATTTTATAAAACAAACAGTAATCTCTAACAGTGAATTTCATAGAATGACCATATTTTTAATGTAATCTGATTTTTCTGTGATAATTGAAGTAACAAGACTGTAAAAGGCTCCGTTGTGCTTACAGTTATTAAATTCGTTAGTGAATGGATTCTTTCATGTAAATAATACATCTCATATTTGGTGCCTAAATAACTGACTTGAACTTACTAGCAGTTTTTTAACAAAACTAGTCTGGAAAGTATGTTTCAAGAGTAGAGTCTCACATATAGAAAAAAGATTTCAGCAGCATGCATGCAGTGATGCTCTCTTTACCCACAGGTCTCTATTTCTGAACATTATTTATTGTCTGCTTTGCTGTTGAAAATAAATTTTTGTCACCTGTGTGAGTAAGGTCCTCCTGACTCGAGTACATAAGATAATGCCACAAGGCCCTGGCAGTGTCCCACAGAAACAGCATTTCTAGTAAATCAGTGGCAATGAAAAGCATCTGTGTTTCATTTAACAGAACACTTCTAACTCTAATTTCTGAACAGCAGCAGGGAAGGAATTTTATTATCTGTAATTGAATTGCAGTATTTACCTGGAAAGGATACCCTATGGCAATTAGATTTTAGTTTGAATTCAGGTAGATTTATGTATTAAAGTCTTCTGAAACAGGAATAAAATACAGTGTGGTTGCAGTGGATACTTAAAGCTGTGTTACACGTCTGGAAGTAAAATTAGTTGTAGGTTGTTCCGTTTGCTTGTTTTTTAGTCTTTCCCAGAAAAGGCATGTTTGACTGATAAGGACATCTGCCTGTTGTCCTTGGGACTTTTTACATACCTTCTTGGGACTTTTTTGCTGCTGTCAGCGACTGTCAGACCCTTTGGCAAATCACAGATGAGTCTGTCGGGAAGACAGGACAGAGGTGGTGAACAGGAGAAGTTCCTGTGTGCTTTGGTAGAGTGGGAAAGCAAAAAGAAAAACAGTGATTATCCTTTACGAGGAAAAGGACACAGCTTGAGTTCAGAAGTTAGCAGTTGGCTCTCTTTGGCTTCACGGCTGGAGATCTGCACCTGGCTACCAGGAGGAATACCCACCCAAATGATTTTGGGAATCCCAAACTTATAGATTCAATAGACTGGTAGAAGTTTAGTGTTTTTGTCACTGAAATGTAGCACACGCTGTAATCATGAAGTTTCTTCCGTTTCTCATTGCCTTAGATTTTAAAAAATAGCGAAAAAAATATAGGAATCTTTACCCTTGTGAGCAATACTGGTACAACTTCTCTCTTCGACTTGAGCTCTGACATCTTTTCTGCTCTCATTCCTAAGCACGGATGGGATGTGGTTGATTCCAACGACTCTGCGTCTCAGCGCCAGGAGGAGTTGCCACCTCCTCCACTGCCTCCTGGGTGGGAGGAAAAGGTTGACAACCTGGGGCGGACTTACTATGTCAACCACAACAACAGAACCACGCAATGGCACCGACCAAGTTTGATGTAAGTGGCACTGTAGTGCTTTGTCCTGTTTGTGGGTATGTGCAAAAGTTAAGGAGAATAAATTATTTTCTTCTGTAGAGACTATTGACAAAGTATTTTTTAAAAATGCAAGCACAGGCATTTCAGGTCTTTTAAGTTTTAATTAAGTTAGACTGACTGATTTTAAGGAGATCCTCTTCTGCTTTTCTGTGCTTGTGCTAATGCGGAGTTCCTGTTCAAGCCTTCATTGTACATTGCCTATAAATAGGTTTATAATGCTGTAGCAATGTTTAACTGAAAATGTTAAGAGTTGTACTGAAATAATGAGTTAGATGGAGTCTCCTTCTCTGGAGATGTTCCAGACCTGCCTGGATGCCGACCTGTGCGACCTGCTGTAGGGAACTGCTTTGGCAGGGGGTTGGACTCGATGATCTCTGGAGCTCCCTTCCAACCCCTACAATTCTGTGATTCTGTGATTCTGTGATCTTTCACTATCTTTCTGTAGCTACTACTCTCCCACTGTTGCTTATTACAAGTGCTGTTTGCTCTTTCTTGCATGTTCATTATCATAGTTGTATTATGTGTGTGTTTCTATATTTAACTTTGTTATTTTTGTCTGACGTGTTTATCCTAGATTAATTAGATTATCTTAGGTTAATTAATTAGAATTTAGTTAGTTTTTGTCCAGCAGATTTTGAACTGTTTTTTTAAAATGCTATCTGTTAAGCAGCTTTTACTTTTCTCAAGTGAATGCCATCCATCTCACAGCGGTATCAGTAACTGCCTATAAAACTTCAGTTTTTATAAATTATTTAATTTAGCACCTCCTTTAATTCTGACTATGGTAAATGAAGTGAAAATTACATGGCTTCAGAAATGCTTTACTGACACATGTAAAAAAATAATAATCGTTGGAAAATGGCATCAGATGGGTGTATAATTTGAAGGCTTCCGGTTGGTGAGTAGCTAAGATGACCAAAAAGTCAGTATCACAAGTGATTTGGGAATGCATAATTACTACTAGCCTTGATAAAGATTGAGGTGGACACCATACTCATACAAATTAAGTAACATTGGGGTTTTTATTGTCTCTTGTTTTAAGATAGAAACAAAGGAAAATTTAGAGTGATGCTTCAAGCCTTGTGCCCAGGAGGCCATTAAGGCCAACAGCATCTTGTGTTGTGTCAGAAGTAGTGTAGCCATAAGAGCAGGGAAATGATTGCTCCCCTGTTCTCAGCACTGGTGAAAACTGCACCTCAGTGCTGTGTTCATTGTTGGGCTCTCATACAAAAGAGACGTGGAGGTCCTGGAGCATCTCTGGAGAGGGGAACGGAGCTGGGAGGGTTCTGGAGCACAGTGCTGTGGGGAGTAGCTGAGGGAATGGGATGGTCACTGTGGGGAAGGGAAGCTCAGGGGAGACCACATCACTGCCTACAACTCCTGAAAGTTGTGCTGGGAGCCTCTGCTCTCAGGTGACAGTGATGGGACAGGAGGTGGTGGCCGTACGTTGTGCTGGGGTAGAGTCAGGTTGGTTATTAGGGTATTTGTTCTCAGAAGGGGTTCTGAGGCATTGAACGAGGCTGGCCAGGGAAGTAGTTGAAGCACCATACCTGGAGGTATTCAGAAGGTGTGCAGATGTGGCACTTAGGTGCCTCGTTGAGCAGTAGGGTTGGCTGTGATGGTTTTTAACAGCTGGACTTGATGGTCTTGGACATCTTTTCCAAACTAAGTGATTCTGATTTTGTAAATTCATGAAACCACTAGGAGTGGAAGGTTCTTGTGGGGTTGATAGTAGAATCAATAGTGTTGGCCTCTCGGTTTGAGACTAGTAACTCAGATACTAATCTAGTCAGTAAGAGAAAATATTGATTATTGTATAGTCTGTGTCAGTTGAGTAATTTGTCTTGCTGTGCTAAAATGTTTTCTCAAATAAATGCTTCCTGAACATAAATCTCTTTAAAAGCTACGGTCCCTCATCCCGAAGGAGAGGTTTAAATGGAATACTGCCTTTTAACAACCTCTTGTAGCCCTTGAGTACTGTAATGGAGATGCAGAGATATGCACAGGGGGAAGCTGCACAAGTCAGGAAGGGACACCATTAAGGGAATTTTTTTTTTTTCTTTCCATTACAACCATTGCAGATATGAGCTGAACTAGTGGTTGTAGCCAGTAACAGCTTGTTGTTGCTTTGGCTATTGCAAAAAGAAAAGCAATAGTTGTCATAAAGAGGGGGGCAGAAGTAAGATCTCTGTGTCAGGAATGATTCTAGTCATGCTGGGAAAGGATAAGTTGTAAGGGGTTAACATCTTACAGTGGGGACTCATTTTTCTGGTTTAACAACTCCGTTGTACAAAGAATGTTAATTTCCAGTCTTACATGACATTCGTGAAATGCTTTTGGTTTTATTTCACTTGGATTAAAGAATTAAATTTCCTCCTGTTTATGAAGCCTGATATGTGCAAGAGTAATGAATTTTTAGCTATAATCAAAAGCATTAATGAGTTTAAGATTCATTGTTGTCTTGTTCTTTTCTCCTTCGCTTCCTTTCCCCACTGTCCAGTGATGTGGGATCTGATTCAGATAACAACATCAGACAAATAAACCATGAAGCAGCCCATAGGCGGTTTCGCTCTCGAAGACACATTAGTGAGGATTTGGAACCGGAACCTATGGAGACTGGAGACATTCCTGAGGTATATGAAGGTCTTGCTTTTAAGAATTGCACCAATCTCAGGCCAAAACGTTTCCCATTTTGTAAGCTAATTACTATGCACCGTGAACAGGAACGGTTTTGCATGGTTTTTAAGGAAATCGACTGAGCAGAAGACTGGAGACACAGTAAAAATCCTAGACAGTTACACTTTCCTGCACATACGCTTTTGTAGGTGGCCAGTAGAGTATGCACTGTGTTAAGTACCATGTAAATGACACGCATTTGTAATAGCAAGCACTGGCTCCTTATCTCCAAGAAGATGAAACACTTTCAATAATCTGCTTTGAGTAACAGTGGGACAAGTTTGTAAGAAGTGAAATGTACCAAATGGAACTGCCATTTGTTTGAGTTTTCTTCTGCGTCTTAATTTAGAAGGAAAACAAGGTATTTTTCCCCCCAAAAATACTTGGCTCTATTTAAAACTCAAGAGATCTTGTTAATCAGTATTTTTAATCTACAGATAGAACAATGTAATGAATTTTGGTAGATGTTTTTAAGCAAACTTTTTGTGTAAAGCTCTGATCCCCTTCAGCCTTAAGGAATGTTTTATGTTGAATGTTTTTATGAATGTTTTCACTGAGAAACACAACTATTTGTGTGCACAAGGGGTTAGTTTATTTCATTAAGTGTTAATGCTGATGATCACACTTGGGTTTGCCACAGTGAGGTGGCTGCCTGGAACACACAGGGAAGGAGAGGCTTGGTTTGACTTGAAATAGTTAATGCAGCTTCTTTTCTTTTGTCAGCCTTGGGAAGCCATTTCAGAGGAGGCGAGTGCAACTGGGGATTCTTTAAGCTTATCGTTGCCACCACCTCCTGCATCTCCTGTGTCCCGTAGCAGTCCTCAGGAGCTATCTGAGGAACTGAACAGAAGGCTTCAGATCACTCCAGACTCTAATGGGGAACAGCTGAGTTCTTTGATTGTACGTGACACGCTGCTTTCTCTGTATACATCTTTACTACTTTACTGATTTTTGCCAGCTTTACATAATCCTGAATTGTTTATGTGGATGAGTAGGTATTGCTGGTCTTAGGAAAAACTGAATACTCTGTTAAAAGCATCTTTTAAAAAAAAAAAATCAGCTTAGTTTCACTGTAGAAGCAGACCTTTATTTAGGTTTAATGTTTTTTTATTTTCCTACATGAGTTTAATTTGAGAGCCTACTGCTCTTATACCTTTAGTGGAACAAAATGCATCATGTAATACTAGAGAGCATCAAGCTAGGAATATCCAAAAGAAAGAGGAAAGACTGAATACTGCTCCAATCATCACCCATTTTATTATGTGATAACTTATCAGAGCTTGGCGTTTACCTGTGCGTATTTATGCTGAAGAATGTGTTGGAATTTTACAAATCCCCATCGTAGTTTACTGGTTAATTGTCACAAGACTAACAAAGGATTAGAATTGAAAGAAAGTAGTTATGGTGAAATGCTCTGTGGATTTATTAATAACAAGTCTGGAGAACCACAGCAGGTTGCTTGAGGTGAGAAGAGAATATAAGTTCTGTTTGTGCGTGTTGCCTATTAGTTGGACACTTAGGATACCACAAAAAGTAAGGATACCATGCTTTCAACTGAAATGTCTTATGTCTCTCTGATTGAGAAAACAATTGTAAATATAAAAGAGAGCACTGTGTTGAGATTTAATCATTTCCTTGGTGTGCGCTATTAAGGTACCTCTGCAGTTAAAGTGAGGAGTGATCACACTCAACTCTTTTTCTGATCAAATAGAATCTTGATTAGGTGCAATTTTTTCACAAAGAACCTATGCAATGTATACAATGACTTGAATGTTATATAGAGATTAGTTCAGCAAATTATGGCTCTGATTGCCAGCCATCTGCACAAAGTCTGCTTCTGTAGATAACTGCAGGTTCCAGTGACCTTCACCTCGAGGGTGGGACGTTAATCGAGTAGGAGCAGTGTCAAGAACAGGGCCTATATTTACTGTGCATACAAAATAATAAGTGGTATAGCTACAAAATAATCTGAATTAAAATAATTCAGTAGTAATGTACAAAGTAGCTCTTTTATGAGCCATTAAATAACATCTTACTTACCACTGCAGTGCAAATTTTAATAAGACCACACTTACTAAGGAAGAAATTGTCAGAGCATTTAGTGTCTGTTACACTACCCTAAAACGAAGCAGCTCTGAAATTATTCTGTCTGCACGTGGAGATTAAGTGGGTCAGCAGTGTTCAGTCCATGGCCCCAGAGGATCTGCCACAGCAGCTTGTGTCTGTGACTGTTCCTCTGGCCTCTGCGAGAGCTCACTGGCCTGATCCAGCACTTAACTCTGGGCTTGCAAATCTGCCCAGTTCTGAGATTTGTATTAATAGCAAAAAGACATCAAGAGCATCATTTGGATCGAGCAGGGTGGTAGGAAGGGTTTGGCACTGCCAGCTAAACACAGGATGTGCCTGCTTGACATCTCCTCTTGACCCAAATTCCCAAAAGCTGTGTGATCAGCTCAGTGACTGTGCAGGCTGTTGGATCCAGGACTTTCCCTAAACCCAAATCTAGACTGGCTTTGCATGAACCTGGCTAAGATCCACAGGCTGCTGGCTGTACCTAGAGGTGCTTTGACCTCAGCAAGGCTCCCAACGAAGGTTCTGCAGAGCGTCCTGCTTTCCCACCACAGGCTCAGGGTGTCATCAGCACCAGAACCACAAGGTCATCTTATGTGTTACTGGCATCTCATTGTGCCCACATCAAGGAACAGACACAAGGGTTACCTAGTGCAGTAAGCCATGTGTGAGATTCCAGCTCTGATAGTAGTACTGATTTTCCAAAGACTATATTGACAGTATTCAGCCAGGAGTTGTATGTCTTCCTTATGCTGCTTGTTCTCCCTCTAGGTTTTCTAAGGTGTCTTCCAAAGATACTTGAAAGTAGTTAAACTTACAGATGTTTTCTTTATTTTTTTTTTCAGCAAAGAGATCCTTCCTCAAGACTGAGATCTTGCAGTGTAACAGATACAGTTGCTGAACAGTCTCAATTATCTTTGGTAAACGAAAGCTAATTTTTATTTATTTCTTCTTCTTTTAACGTCATCTGATTCTGAATGGTGTCTTTTCCTAGATCAGTTCTAGGCAGATCTAGTGCAGTTATGGACGTGTGGCTGTCCTAAATCATTCTGGAAGCTAAAATAGTGTCAAAGTACAGTGAGGAATTCCAAAAGAGAGAAAAAACGTTTTGAGACAGAGTATAGTCATAGTGTCTGACTTCAGTTACCTAACACAGAAATGTAGTTTACTAAACACTTGTGTTCAGTTGATGTATGAGGTGGAGAGAGAAAACCTTCCCATGAGTGTTTTCAGATAGGATATCAATCCACACACACAAAAGATTACACAAGTTTACCATGAAAATATTAAGTAGGGAGCTCCTGATGAGTCCACTGCTAAAGCTGATGTCTCTCCTTTGTTTCTTTCTGTTGTTATTGGTTAGACATTTACTATAACTGCAGTATTTTTCTCTTTGTTCTGTGTGTTCTGTATGTTTGGTGTATCCACATTTGTTGCTTGGAGTTGCATGCAATAGCTGTTGTTCAAAAGAGTACTTATGAAGGATGATGCACCTCTTTACTTTCTTCCCTGGATAAACAATTGTGTGGTTTTCAGTACAATTATGCCTTAACTGTCTTCTCTCCATACTAGAGGAAACTGTCACTTAACGAAGTCTGATCCAGAGATGGTCTGCTGCTTAATTTAATATAACCTCATGGAGTATGAGTTTCTTTACCTCATGCAGTCACTTGGGGCCTTGTCGTGATCCACCTTTCAGTTTGCTATTGCAGAGCATTCATTTATTTAGCAGAAGAATTGAAATCATTGCTCTATTATTATTATAAGGACATTTCTTGATTTTAATCTTTATTGAACCAATGATAGTTTATCTTCCAGCAACTAAATCCATACCTTCTTTCTAAATTGTGTTGATTTTGACTGTATTAATCCTTAGTGAAAATTTGAAATGCCAGTTTCATACTTTTGATCTAATTTTTTCTGATGATCAAAGTGGATCCACTCTGTTTCTAAGGGAAATTAATCACGTTACACTCAGAGTGAATGATCTTGTCATCCTTAGCAATACTGCTCATACCAGAACTCTTGAAATTAGTTCCTTTGGTGATTTTTCTGTCAAGCTCTTTCTTGTTTATCAGTGATTGATGGCTTAATTTTTTCTACATCATCTTTGAAATTATTTAAACCTAATTGCTCTTTTAATAAATTTTAGATTGTAGATGATTCCTTATTCCTCAAGATGTAAGAGTAAACTGTGTCCTTCAACACCAAGTGTACTTACCTGTAACATTAATTATCATTTAACAGCAGAGTGGCCAATCTAGGAGAGCTCGTTCTTCAACTGTCACAGGTGGTGAGGAACCAACGGTAATATCTTTATCCAACATTATCTCTAAATGAAATGTGGGCGAATTTAGGTCTTGTACAGTAATTAACATTTTTTCACAGAGCAGCAATGCGATAATTGACATACAGCCACTGAAGCCATAGTTGCATTTATTTCGTTATTTATTTGTTACACTTCAGATTTGCTCAAATAATGCTCTATTCACTCTAACTTCAGTTTAAGGCTATTTTATTACTTGCATATGCTAGTTTTAACAAAGCTTTACTAAAAACATACCATAAACTTATAAAAAACAAGATACAGTGCCTAATTCTTTAAAACTTGAAATAACCAGTGTTTAAAGATATCAACTCAGTATACTTGTATCTTTCATTGTGCTTCTGTCTTCCCTTACTCTCTGTTAGACTGGTTCATTTGGATTCATAAGATTGATCTTAATTTGAGAACTGTGCAATGATGCATCATTATGGATTGTAGTGGTCTTAATTGCAGCCAATTTTCATTTTCCAGCAGTTATTCCTCACTGCAAGGCTGAAATTTTGCTTTGCTCATCTGATAAAGTTCTTGAAATGCTTTTCTGAAAGAATTTTTCTGCATAATTAAAGACAAGCAGATTTCACTTATATTGATCTTTGCCAAAAAAGTCTCATTCCGTTAGTCTGAAACAAACTGTTGCATAGAGTGCATTATCCACTGACAGTAATAATTGGCTTTCATGAGTATTTGCACTCTTAGATAATTTACTTCAGGGATGTAAATCAAAGTTGGTACGTTTCCTGTTTGTATGCAGTGGTGTCAGGCCTCAGTTTGTCTTCTGATGCAGCATTCTGTGACAGTGTTTGTGTTCACTGTTTTTTCAGAATCAGAGGGGCATGCTGGTATTCAGTTCCTGCAAATTCTGATTTTTTTGTGTCCTTGAAAATCCTCCTTCAGGTTTTTTTTGATTAATAGATGATCTTGTGTTGATCATACTTCTTAAAACTGTAATACTTTCTGCTAATTCTGCTAAAGCTGAGTTCGTACTTCCCTATCTCATAATCAATATCTCTTTTTTTTTTGTTGCTCCAATGTAAGTTTATTGCAGCTTAATTAATGGGAGCCTTCCCCTCGCTGTCTTCATTCAATATGCATCTATACCAAATCCACAGACTGCTCAGGACTTAAATATGAATTCTTTCTTGCATTTAAATCCAGATGCACATTCTTCCAAGGTTGCCATTTTTTTGTCCTTTAGGGACATCAAATATGTAGACAAATATGTAGAATTTGTCGATGCTGAAGTTTCTAGGGCAGTTCAGTTTTGCTTTCAGACTTCCTCTAATACTCATCACAAATAAGCCTTTTGATAAAGCGCCCATGTTTCTATTCTGTGTGGTAAAATATCTTCATGTTGGTATCTAAAGTATGGCAGGAAGACTGAAGGGCAAGCTTTCTGTTTCACAGATGGTACACATGGTTGCATTAACCCAGCCACTAGGAAGGAGAAGGGCTGCTGGCAGTTGGAGTTGTTTTGATAGTCTGATAAAGGGAAGATCAGATGATAAAGCTGACCATCTTTCTGGTGTTTCTGTATACTCCCAGCACCAAGTCAGTTGAAGCTGATTGTTTGCATCATGCCATCTTGCCACGAATAGAAGCTGTATTATTACAACCCAGAATATCAGCTACCTTAATTGTCTAATTTTTAATTAAAATTTGGCCTGTGGACTGTACTCAAACACTTATTGTGTCCTTATGACCACCAGTTAACAGCCTAGCAATGGTCAGAACAGTCTCGGTGAAGGTGCTCTCCTTATCACAACCATCAGCTGCCTGAACTGACCATTTGGCTCCTCTGGACATTAATAAACTGGAGTTTGTTTCAGAGGGTATTACTCAGCTTCCTTATCAGTTTTCCTTTTTCTGTCTCCTAATGTGCCGCATCAGCTTTCTAACCCATTCATTTTCCTTTCTGATTTCTTTTCTTGATCGTCAGACGGTTCTCCAGCTCACTGTGTCAACTACACTGCTCTGCTAAAAAGCAAACATACTGCTTTAAGCAAGAGCCCTGGGAAGAGGTCTTAAGAATATGAAGCAAGAACAAGGATTGCTGTAAATCACTTTGCTGGGGCAAAGAGTGTAAAGCATAGAAAAATAATTTACTGAGAACCTTTGAGACTTGAGAAGTTACCAAATCCTGCTGTGCAGTGTCATTCACACGTTTTATCCCTAAGTAGTAGTTTTCCACTGTATTAATATTTTTAAATAGAATTATCATACCACACAAACCACTGTTTATAAGGACACTGAAAGAGTAATTTCTTTTTTTGCTTTGTGGTTAGGCATGGTGAATAAAGCTGAGAGCCTAGGGAAACAGGCAGTTATCCAAGCTGCCTTAGTTGTGCTGTAATGCCTATGGTCTTGCAAGTCAAAATGTGGAGGTAATTGGTCATCTCCAAGGCTGATTCTTCCCTTGATTTTATTTAAAGATCACACAAAAGATGTGAATAGTCTTCTTTAAACATCTTCTGTCTCTTAATAATATTCACTGTCATATTCCAGCATCCTCTTTTTCTGCAAGAGATCTCAGTATTTTTAAGACTTCTTCCACTACAGTTATTTCTTCTAACCTGCTCTGTTTTCCTCCACAGCTGCTTTGCCTTTCAGTTGCCTTCCAAAAGTGCTCACAAAATTTGATTCACATTCACACAGTGAGAATTTAAGAGCTCAGAGATGTCTGTGTGCTAATCCTCTGTGGGACTGAATCTTCACAGAATCAGAGTTTTAGGGGTTGGAAGAGACATTTAGAGGTCATCGAGCCCAGCTCCTGTGCTGAAGCAGGTCCTCTACAGCAGGAGAAAAGATAAATTCAGTAATATATCTTTGCTATAGTAATTTGCCTGTATTGCTGAACTTCTCCTGCCTGCACTTAGGTTCTTTGCATATGAAGTAGCTCTGAAACAGAAGCTGCCTTTCAGGTGTGGGCAAAACACTCAAAATCCCACAGCAGTCATCATTACTCACTGTAAATTATGGTCTATCATCACTGTGCTGGGCAAAGACAAATGGCTGAGTCTGGAGTGGTTAAACTCAGGCTTCAAAAGAGGGATTAGTGAAACTGATGAAGAAGGAAAGCATGCAGAATTTGACAGAACAGTGGAGCTCAAACACCTCTTTATTCCAGCACGTGATGAGGTCTTTTGGATTTCACCATTCTTCTGCCATGAAGGCAGCTATGTTGAAGAAGCAGAACGATCTCTAGCATTATAGAACCCTGATACATAAAATGTGACTATGTATTTTAATGTGATTGATCTATTGATTGAACCAAGTGCATAAATGCATTTTGATCTAAATAGCAAGGTGCAGATGCTGAATAGCACCTTGCACCTGCCTTGTCCTTGATGAGATGTTAGCAGAATCTGCTTCGTTAGAGAGCATGCATTCGAGAGCAAGAATGCTGTCCTGCTGAATGCAGGAGCAGTACAAGCAAGTGATGTCTACAGAGAAAAAGAGTCCCAAACTAGAGAGTGACAGAGCTTAAACATGTGAATAATGATTTGGAATTGTTATCTGACTCCCTGGGCATCTTCCCTCCTGAAATGTGCCTTCAGGTGCAGACAGGTTCAGTATTAGAATTCTTTTCCTAGGCTTTTTGCCCTCCAAAGGCATTGCTACTCATGTACGCTGTATTTTTTAACTGTATGTCTCAGAAACAAATGTCTACTTGTATAAATCACTGAATATTTTGCTGCCCATAGAAACCTCAGAAGACAATGTCTCTTGTAGCGTAACTATTGTGTTGAATAGTGACATGCTTTGTCTAATGATAATTGGTGCCATTGTCCTCACTGTCTTTATGTTTTCTTTTCAGCAATGTCTCTGTTGTGCAACTTTTTAATTAGAAAAACGGTATCTTTTCATTCTAAAGTTTGGGCTCAATTTTAGTGTGTATCCTCTACTTCAAGACACCTAACCCTAAATGCAATTGTTTGTGACTAAGAAGATGTTTGGACTTCAGTTTTTAAGCCCTCAGCAGTTTGCTGCAATTGAGTCAAGATCCCGTGGTAGAGATGAGGTCAGAACTAGATGAGATGAGGTCAGAACTAGATGAGATGAGGTCAGAACTAGAGAGATCTTGACTGGAAAGCGTGATCACTTCCTTTTCTTATTTATCCACACCAATGTAAAGGGAAAAATCAACCTTAAGGGAAAATCATTACAATGCAAGGTTTCTTTTTGTCATTGTATGTAACACACCAATTTAAAAGTTTGAGGGCATGTAAGCTTAGCTAGTTTTGAAACAAGAGACCTGAATCCATGCAAGAGTGAATAGAAAGATTATTATGATAAACTATCATTTGACTCAGAGGGGTTTGAAGAAGAGCTTGTATTAGATGATTTCTCAGACCACATTTTCTGTATGTTTGATAGTTCTTAGAATTATGTGCATCTGTTGATGTTCTGAGTTCTTTTCAAAGAACAGATGTTAAGTTTCTTAAGCTAATTAAAAAATAACAATATGGTAATTTCTTGTTGAGCAGCCTTCAGTGGCCTATGTCCACACCACGCCGGGCTTACCTTCAGGTTGGGAGGAAAGAAAGGATGCAAAGGGCCGTACTTACTATGTGAATCACAACAATCGCACCACAACCTGGACACGGCCCATCATGCAGGTATGGAGATGTGTTCCGTTGCTCTGTTTAGACTGCGTGCATTTAGATGGCATCACACTGAGTATAATTCCAGTGGAAGCAGCTCTTTAGAACTACAAACATTAAAAAAAAAATAAGCGTGGTCGCAACAGTTCGGGATAATCATAAAAAAATGCGGTTGGGATTTTTGTTTTTATGCTTCTCTTAACTTCAGTAGTTACAGATTAAGTTGATGCTACAAGGGAGGGCATTTGCAGAGAGGTACCAAACACAAATAAAGACAAAAGTCTCCGTAGGTTTGAGTTTGAAAGTTCTTTTGCTTAATTAATAATTCCAGATGTTTTGTGTCTTTGCTATGGAATTAAAATTAAATAATGTGCTTGACTGTAGTAGTCATAATAACGATCCTGAATGCTGGTGTCGTTTTCAATTGCTTTGACTTTGGATGAACTGCAGTCTTGATGACTGGCTAACTTGGTTTTGCATCTAAAACAGCTTGCAGAAGATGGCATGGTTGGGTCAGCAGCAAACAGCAACAACCATCTGAGTGAGCCGCAGATCAGACGGCCCCGCAGCCTCAGTTCACCCACGGTCACCTTGTCTGCTCCCCTCGAGGTGAGAAGCACTGTTAGCAGCACAGACCACTTGTATCTGACTTCTCTCTTGGTTACCTTTATGAGTTTTTCGCTCCCTTTCAGTTATGCAGCACAGCATTGCTGTTGTTACAACATTCTTAGTGTTAGTTTCGACATGATATATTGCTGTTTTCTTCTAACATTTTTCCACCTGAATCTTCACATCATACAGTAGCGTTGCTTAACTTTGATCATTGAATGATGTGAATGAATAGTCTGTCTGGCACGTGCAATCAAAGATTATTTGTGTTTTTCTTGGATGATTAGATCTCACAAATCAATTAAACATGGCTGCATTGAGGAGAGAAAGTTACGAAAAACTTCATCTTCAAATGGAAAGTGCAGCACCTTTTTTGTCCTTTCCCACTTTTTCTGCTGGACAAATTGTTGAAAACCTGTAATTTCAAGCTGATATAAGAAATCTAAACCTACACTTACTTGTTTTAAAGCCATGTTTAAATGTTCTTTCTGAAATTGTAGTTGAGACATCTATTAAGAAGTTCAAGGCTGGATGTGGCTCTGGGCAGCCTGGTCTGATAATTGGCAACCCTGCCTGTGGCAGGGGGTTGAAACAAGATGATCCTTGTGGTCCTTTTCAACCCAGGCCATTCTATGATTCTGTGATAATGTCACTTCACACTCAGCATACTCTCCTATTTGAACTAGCATCTATTGCACCGCAGAGTGCAAAGCATTGCTTGTATCTTTTCCTTTTTAGAACGAAATGTTGACATGTACAGATCAGCTTTAGTAAAATATGTAATCAAAGCAGACATTATCATCACATAGGGATATGATAAAAGTCCCTGCCCTTCAAAGTGAAAATCTTAATGAGTGACGAGGAATAGCTAATTACTGGTAACTTTCCTGCATTCTAGGAAATCAGTGATAGTGCTTAACGGTAGCGTAAATTGCAGCTGGAATGAAAACCTTCTTGCCGTGATATCACATTGTGTCCAGTCCCCTTTATGAAGTGGCATTTGGCAAATCCTTGTACCTTCCACACCACAGGGCATGAAGGACTCCCCGGTGCGCAGAGCTGTGAAGGACACCCTTTCCAACCCGCAGTCTCCGCAGCCCTCTCCCTACAACTCTCCCAAACCACAGCACAAAGTTGCGCAGAGCTTCCTCCCTCCTGGCTGGGAGATGCGGATAGCACCCAACGGCAGGCCCTTCTTCATCGATCACAATACTAAAACTACTACCTGGGTAAGGGGAATTCTACATCATGAACCTCAAATGGCTTTGTCTTTCCTGCTCTGTTTTCTGGGCTGTAGACCCTCTGTTTCGCTTTGGAATTGTTCTTGTGTTTGAGATGCAAGTTCCGATCAAGGGATTTGTCATGTGGAGTTTCATAAAGCTGAACACAGTGAGACTGACTCCTCCATGCAGTGGTGTACCATAGCCACCGTCTGAAACAGCACATCTGATGCAGTGGCTGTAGTGGTGCCACTGCTACACCCAGAGAAAGGAAACTTATTTGTACATAACCACTGGAAGTCGTTTTTGGTGGATTTATGTATCACGTATCTACCATACAGTAGCACTTTGTGCTTGAGCTTTTTATACTTGGCAAACCATTGCATACAGGTATTGCCTTTTGAATTCCTCAAATTTGGGTTTTGCTGGCATACAGTGTGATGGAGATTTGGCGTGGTGTTCAGTTTGAGGTAATTCTGCCTGTAATTGCCTGTAATTCTTGGATTAGTTTCCTGTTTAAATAATGTATGTTCATCTTTGGAGCAGAGTCCATCTTATTATTTGTTTTGTGTCATGAGGATCTGTTTTCCAATAATTCTACATTTTCAGTCAGCAAGTGGGGGAAAAATTAAAGTAGGAAAAAATGTCAAAGCTGACTCAGCATTTCATGTCACCATTTAAATACGAGTGGAACTTAAATTTTATAGATGTTATTCAAATTCCCAGCAGCAACTGTTTTAAATGAAATATTTCAAATGGTGGCTCTTAATCATGTTCCCAAGTTGCGTGTGGGTAGGTTATGTGTGGAGATCTCAATCACTGTGACTCCAAATTGATCTTCTGTGACCTATTTTACTTGCCTCTTTTTACATCTTTTGTTCATTCATGTGATATCTGGGGTTAATAAAAATGTAAGAGGCTCATTTACATCATTTTCCAACCTTTTCATGAGAGAATGGCTTATTTCTTTTGAGGTTTTGAGAGACAGAACTGTATGGATGACTCTAAATGGCACTTAGGAATGCATGCTCTGCTAAGAGCAGGCCTCTGGAAAGAACACCCTTAATAAAGTCTTACCCACCCTACCTCTTAACATCTAAAAAAATCATCACAATTTATTAGTTTTAATTAAGTACGTGGCAAGGCTAAACATATGTTTAATTTATATGTTTGGGTTTTGCATTTTATTCTCAGGAACGCAAAACTTAAACGATAATTTTGATGTAGGAAGGTGGCTGTTCCAGCTGCTGTGTATGACTTTTTATGCAGATGCTGCATTTATGGTTGCATGTATCTGTTACAGGAAGATCCACGGCTGAAATTTCCAGTGCATTTGAGAACAAAAGCTTCTTTGAACCCCAATGATTTGGGCCCCCTTCCTGTAAGTGACAATGTCTTTGGGTGTATACCTGCTACCTTGTAAGAACTGATCTGCTGTTGCAGTCTTGTATTGTATGCATATGCTTACTGTTTGCTCTCATCACTTTAATGGAGATCCTAAAGCAATGTTTCTAACACCAAAACAACTCTTATCAGGGAATGAGTCAGGCTGTGCAGCCAGCCCGTAGTATTTCTGCGGTTATTAAACATTTCTTTGTTTATCTGAAGCTTTGAGCTTTGAAGAAACTCACCTTGTTTTTATCTCTGAACATGTGATTTTAGACAATTAATGGTTAACTAGCTGATAATTAACTGCTGTAGGAAAAAAAAAAAAGAAGCACATTGCTCAAAGTGAACTTTGTTTCTGTTACCAGTATATACTGGTGTTCAGAAATCTAAATCAATTCTGATTTTTGAATGAAACCTCCATATTCTGCAGAGAAAATGATTGTATTAGCCTCAAAGGCTTTGTCATATTGGTAACCAGTGCATAATAGTGATTTGCACGTCGAGTACAGAGCTTTGCTTTGTTTTTCAGGAGCTGTATCTTTATGTCAGAGGATAACCTGTGAAAGCTGACACTTTTTCTAAGCTGCAGACCTTAATAGTGTTATGTTAATTGCCTTACATGCACTAAACATGCTTTTGAAAAATTGCCACTGGAATGGTATTTGCAGCACTGGAAGCTGCAGTGACAGTAAGCCATTAGTTGTCACCAGCAGACTCAGCAGGTATTGCAGACATGATGTCTGCAGACAGTTTTGCCTTTAGGATGGGTGGCTGTCCTGTTGTACCAGATGTGGCACGTTAAGTTATCTAGGTTTTGAACAGATTGAATAGTGAGTCTTTGGTCGTACTGATTTGCACTGAGCTGATTTGCAGTTAACTGAGAACTGCTCTGCCAGCAGACTAGAGGGAGCACTGCTTATGGGCAGCAGGTGACAAAAGCAGTGAGGGGCATAGGCATCCTCCTCTGAAACATCCAGACGTCTCCCTCTTCAGGTCTTGGTTAGCAAAAAGTTATGCCTTGTTTTTAAGTCAAGCTAGGCAACTTGTCAGGGCTCATATCTCAAAATTCTGATCAGATTAAGAACTATATTCACTTGAACCTATTTATTACAATGAATTTTCTGATTTAAAATACAGCAGTAATGGAGCATTTAGGAGAGCAGCTATGGAAGTAACTGATATTTGTAGTTTTTCTCCAAGGACAAGTTTGCTTGATGGGAGGCACTGAACAGGAGTAACTTAGCCTGTTAATTCCAAGAGGTAAAAAGGCACTGCGAAATGAAGGCAGCCTGACATATATTGTTGGTACTGTTTAGTTAGTAACAGGCTTAAACAAGCCATTTTTGACAGAGGCTGGAGCCATGGAACGGTTGCATTGGAAGGGACCTCAAAGCTGCCCAACCTTTGCTGTGGGCTGGCTTCCCCCCAGCTCAGGTGCCCAGGGTCCATCCGTGGCCCCAAACACTCTGGAGAGTTTTCCCCTCACATCTGATTTAATTCTGTGCTCTTTAGTTTAAAGCCATTATTTTTATCCAATTACTGCACTCACTGATTAAGTCTCTTCCCAGTGTGATGGTTGCAGAGTTGAAGAAAAGTAATTTTGAAAAGGTGGAAGTGAAATAATTTCTATTCTGTGTTGCATAGAGGGCTGAAGCTGGCATACAGCTTGTAGGTGCAGTGAATACTAGATCAGACAGCATTGCATCAACCAGCAGCATGCCATGTATTCTCCTTTCATTACTAAAATTGAGAAAAGGGAATGGAGAGAAAGGCAAGAATTGAACACTAGGTGAGCCATCCTTGTCTCGCTCTCAATATTTACAGTAAATAACCCACAGGTGTCTCAGAAGTGAAAGGAGAAGCTCTCAGAACTGAAAAATGGTGGGCAGCCTATTCTTTGTGGTTGTTTTCTCACTGTAGGAAATGGATGTGAACCCCAATGCAAGAAACTTCCACTTCAGAGCCTTAAAGAAATACTTACCGTATTGGATATAATCGTTTGCATAAACAGAGAATGCTTTGAATCATGCCAGATTATTGGCCTTGGCATAGCACACCTGTTTCTACTTGACAGGCATCTTTCAGACAATTTAAGCTGGCATGGATAATGTATTGCTTCGTGCTGCATGAGAATGGTAGTATTTCACTTATTTTCTCTGTTTTTTTGTTTCCCATTTCCAGCCTGGTTGGGAAGAAAGGATACATTTGGATGGAAGAACATTTTATATAGATCATAGTAAGTAAGCACTCAGGTACTGCAGCAATTAGACAAAGGGAGGTAATAAATATCGAAGTGAAAGCTTTGTAATTTTACTCTTCATTTAGGAAGCCAGGTGTTGATATGTGGAGACATTGATACCAGAGACTTAGTGCCCTCCTACGGTACTGTACATTCACCAAAAGCTTGCTTATAATTGGCTCATCAAGCTTTGTCCCTCTCTGACTTGTGAAGCATTAACATTTTTTCTTTGTGGTTTCTTTTGTTCTTGTTGATATTTTGGACTCTTTGTTGTTGTTGTTGATGATCCCATGGCTTATTTGCACTTTAATAAATTAAAATGTACATTAGGAATAGAAAGTAAGATGGCCACAGCTCCACATATAGGCAGCAAGTAAATTAACACTGATAATACTCTCTCTCTTCTCATCTGAGGTCTTGTGGCAGCATTGATTCTGAGCTTATTTCATATTTATAGCATGTTATATGGCACCCAGCCTGATATCTATTCTGACTATATCCAACTGATATCTATTCAGTTCTTCTGTTAGTGAAATTCCATTGTAGGTGATGCTTCAGTGTAGATTTGTCTTACTGCAGCCCCTCAGAAAAACTGTGTTAGTTCTTGTTGATTAAAAACAAAGCAGCACAAAAAAGCTTTTTTTTTTTGAAGATTTGAACTGGGCTTTCTAATGGGGCATTTCTACTGACAGGATAATCTTCACAGAGGTAGTAACTCAGAACAATTGGAAGAGTGTCTGTTTGCTCCACGAAACTCAACTAAAACCTCCAACAATTCTGTGTATTTGACAGAACTTCAGTAGCATTAAATCCTAGCATAGGATTTCTCCTTCAGTAGCATTAAATCCTAGCATAGGATTTCTCCTTCAGTAGCATTAAATCCTAGCATACCTACAGTTTTGTGTTACCGAATCATTGTTAAACCATCTTTGCCTCTAAATGAGTTACATAATTTTAAATAAAAACCAGAAGTAGCACACTCACAAAGAAAGAGATTAGCCCTTTCAAACATCAGCGTTGCTGTGTTCTGTATGTCTTCCTTAATTTTTAATTGCTCCTACCAGTAGATGTCTGGAAATAAATCTGCAGTGTTTAAGATACCTGTATATTTGCTGGCCCTCCCTCACTTCAAGTTATTCAGTCTCTAAAAATGGAGTGCTGATGTTATACGTTCCCTCAAACAGTTTGATGCTTTTATAAAAACAGGTGTATTTGCACCTGAAGCCTCTCTTTGTTCCCAATCCGAGCTTCTTTAGCATTTTTGCAGAATTTATGAGTGTTGTTTGTTTGGGTGTTAGGCCTGTTTTGGTGGGGTTTTTTTGGACAACACTATTTGCTTCTATCAGATTGCCCTTGAATCTCATTGTTGGCACCACTGTACTACCAGGGGACTTCAGAATTAGAGGTGATGCCAGGGGCATTACAGCAGACTTTGTGATGAAGTTGTGCTCAGTGCTTTGCAAATGACTGCAAACAGCAGTTTATCAGTTTATTTTACTCTAACAACCATTGTAGCATTTCTTCCCACAGTATCATAGAACCACAGAATGGCCAGGCTTGGAAGGGACCTCAAGGATCACGGAGCTCCAACCCCCTGCCACACGCAGGGCCACCAACCTCCACATTTCATAGCAGCCCAGGCTGCCCAGGGCCCCATCCAACCTGGCCTTGAACACCTCCAGGGATGGACGGGGCATCCACAGTCTGGAAGGAAGTGCAGTGGCTTTTGGCCGTATTGTCAGCTTTGTGGCAGAGCCTTGTGGCTCTTAACTGTTCCACGAGTAACTTGAGAACATATGCTGAAGTCAGCCGTGGCAGCAACCAGCTGGGCTTGCTCTGGAAGCATGCAAGTCTTGAGAGTACAGCACTATCATAAACTGGCTTAGTTAAGATGCAACAAATGTACTCCATTTCATTACTAGAATACAGCTGAATCAGATAACTTACAACATTTATGCTGCTATTAATGTCCTGGCTCCCCAGGTATGTTTTTGAATTGGTAACAGGCATGATTATTTCATACTGTTGCCCAGTTTTGTTTCATGTTTTTCTCATCCCTGAGAAAGACTGTAATAAAATACACTGCAGCCAGCACAGAAAGGACCACTGTGGAGCAGCACAAGCTGTTATGAAGCATGTCACAAACTAAGAACAGTAAAGCACAGAAAAGATAATTTAGGTGCTACTTTAACGTAGTGGTCTGAAAATCTGATTCTTTTCAGATTTTAGTTGTAAGCTGTTCTGATTTCTTAGGAGCCATGTAGGAAAACGTGTTCTACATCTTAGAAGGTATCATGAAGAACAACACAAAGGCTTTGCAACCAAATTCAGCATAGTTACCAGTGGTTCACTGAAGGAGGAATGGATGTGTTAAATGGGTTCCCTGTTCTTCAGCATGCTGAGGAATGAATTAGAGAGAATGTGCACAATGTATTAGTAGAAAACAGCAACATAGGAGAAGCAAGACGAGCTCACTGGAACAGGATTAGGAACCAGAATGATGGTGATGAGGTGTAGGTGCAGTGTGAATGTGTTTTATTACAATTCCAAGGTACAACTCAGAATAGGAAGAGTTAGCAGAATTTATTTTGAAAGAGACATGAAAAACATCAGCTGAGTGTGAGTTAATTTATCCTGCAGTGCATCAGCAGGAGCATCTTAAATAAGAGCAGAGGTAATCTTCCTAAGCTGATTAGCAATGGTAACATCTGTGACAATGAAGCGCAGGGACCCAAGTCTCAGGGGAATAGTGGAACCAAAGGAACAGAGGAAATCCTTCAAAGCCCAAAGGCCTGATCTGTGAGGAAAGAGAGAGAGTATTGTGTTTGTGTGAAGAACCAGGAGAGCTCTTCTAAAACGTGCTGCAAAAGGAGTTAATTTGATATCGACATCTACTGTACAGTAATACAGGGAGTCTTGTGCTACAGTTCCAGCTCCGGTGGGTCGAGTTGGGCTCTTCTCACTGTATGGGCATTGAAGTCATAGGAAAGTAATATGAAGTCCCTATTGCTGTAATATTCTGAAAAACAGCTTAGGCAATGACTGATCAGTGACGCCTTGTGCTCTTAAACATATCCTAGAGCAGTAAGAGAGAATGGACAGAATCTCTAAAGTAATTCCCAGCTCTGCCTTTGATGTCATAGAAATTTACCACCATCATTGTGCTTGTCACTTTCAAGTAGGTGTAAAAAACGAATTGGTATAAAAGCAGTAAATGTTGCAGAAGTGATGCTACTGACCAAGAAGCAGCCATATGAAAAGGCCAGCCCAGGAGCCAGCCTGTTGGCAGGCAGCAAGCTGTGCAGAATGTGTGGCTCCCAGAGCTGTTGTTCTGACAGCCTTCCTCCATAATGGCCATAAAGTGTGAAGGAAAATAAGACAGTAATTTAATGTGAAATTAACTGCTAGGCCAAATTTGCTGGAGTGTGCCCTGTGATGGTTTTGAATTTTCTTCAGTAACTTTTAATGAGAGGCAGCTTACAAAATCCAGTCCATTTTAAAAATAACTTGGGGTGCTCAAAACTTAGGGGTCTTTTCTGACTATAGAAACATGGAAAGTGCCTGTGCTACTATAAAACAAGTGGACTTGGCTCTTTGCTTTTACCTGTAGTATCCTTAAAAGCAATTTTCTTCAAGCTTAGTGTTTTTATTCTCAAACCAAGAGTTACAAAACCTGAAATCCTGACTATTCCTTTAATATGCAGTTTATAAATCAAAGTGTGTACCTAAGAGATGTATTATTATTACCCTTGCAGTGCAGGAAATACGACTCAAGCCTTGCCGTTGGAGGTGGCATTTAGTTTGGTTTTTGGAGCATTGTCTTGTTGCAACATCATCATTCTGTCGTGATTCTGTTGTGTTCAGAATCTTGTGAGGAGCAGCTGTCTGGAGGCAGAGAGAGTTTCACCGTGGTCCTGTATAACCTCACTGTATGACCATGCAATGCTGCTGGTGCTCTTGAAAGCTGTAGCTGAAAAGAACTGAATTCTGTTACCTTACTGCCAAAATAGACTTTGTCTAAACTGAATGATTCCTTATGCCATACTGTGTACTTAATGATGTTATAAATTTCTCATTAAAATCAATGTCTAGGACTTCTTTTTTTCCGAAGAGATGCTATCCCTTCACTTCCAAATTTAATTCAGACTGCTTTAAAATTCCTAAACTTTGGCCCTCTTTATGCAGAATTTTGAATAAGTAAACTTCATCTACCATTGGACAAAGTGTTTGGGTTTCTTTCCCCTCAGCCATGAAATCTGTATTTTTAATACGAGTTGAATCCAAGATCATGTTCAAGTAGAACATGTTTACTACTACTGGTGTTGAAATAAAAGCAGTGTAATTACACTGAATTATGCTGTACTTCTGCATTTTTGAACGAGTCTTTTTGACCAAACAGTGTGATGGGATTTTGATGGAGATGGGTGAATGCATTATTTTCCAAGCCTGAAATACTGAGCTGTGGAAGTGGTGGTAGGAAAAATATGTGTAGGGAAAAAAAAAAAACCAACAAACACGTACATTCGCAGCGCGGTAGCAAAGTAGTAATAATATAATTTATTTTGTTATTTACAGATAATAAAATTACCCAGTGGGAAGACCCCAGACTGCAGAACCCAGCAATTACTGGTCCTGTAAGTACTGCTGTGGTTCTTTTGGCATGAAGTGCTGTGACTCATGTACCTTTGGTGTAGGCAGCAGTTGTAAATAAGCAACAGGTCATGCTTGTATTCCACATGACAGAATCGATGCCTGGTTGGATTGGAAGGGTCTTTAAAGCCCATCCAGTTCCAACCCCTGCCATGGGCTGGGTGCTCCCACCAGCTCAGGGTGCCCAGGGCCCATCCGTGGCCGCCAGGGATGGGGCACCCACGCTTCTCTGGGCAGCTTGGTGAATAGAGTAGGAGGCAGGACCAACCTTGGCTTGCTTTGTCCTGAGGGAGACTCAGATGAGCATTTTGTGAGCCTCCAAGGGCAGGGGAACTGCTGTCCTGTGCCCTCCTGGTGAGGTGCCCCAGAACTGCTGACACTCAGTAACCCTATTTTGTTTCACATAACCTGCAGTGCACTGGAGACTTTTCCAGCCTGCTGCCAGTGGTCCAAAGCAGAGTGGGGTTCATGAGGAATCACTGCATTGTTTGTCACTCGTGTGCAATGCACACCATTCCCAGCTCAGGCAGTAGGTTCAAAGCTGGTGGTTCTTGTAGTCTTTCCTACTGATGGCTACCGAGGTATGGCATTTTTCATGCATTACAGCATGTTTTCTTCCAGAAGCCAACACCATATGATTTTGACTGTCTAGGAAACATTCTTGATTGGTTTGTCACAGTAAATCTCAGAATACATCTGTTTCAGCAAAAGGAGAAGAGGGCTCTTTCTTTAGCGGGATAGAAACTGCTTTATGTGACTGTTTTGAATGTCTGTATTGCTGTGCTGTTTCTGTGCAAAGCTCCATCCGCTCTGAAACTGCAGGGCTGAATACTCTGAGTGGGGTTTCATGCTGAGATGCGCGGAAATTCGTTGGTTCTCATTTTATTCTGTTCTCATCCTGCAATCAGAAACTTTCTGTGCTAGGCGCTGCACTGTGTTCGAGTCGTGTATTTTGGTACAGAGCTGTGCGTGAGGGGCACCTGCTGTCATTCTTTGATCAGAAGATCTTGGGAGTTTTGTACTAGCCAAGCAATAGTAGTTTTATCACTTCCTCTATGAGAATGGGGTTCACTCACTGAGGGCCGTGGACATGCAGTGCTGTGTGGGTATATGCTGCATCCTGCACCTTATGATTCATTTCACAGCTCTACCTGGAGCCTCGCAACTTGTTCTAAGGAGCATTCTCAAAATTCTTTGTATTTTGTCTTTGTGCAACACCTTTTAATCCTTAGCACTTCCAACTGTGTAAATCCATAGCTTTTGATAGCAGCACTCATTCTTAGAAGTCATAAAAATACCACATGACATATTATTGTTTCCTAATGAAACACACAGATGACAATATTGCATTCCAGTCATTTTTCTCCATGTTAAAAATAGTTTTTGCTCTTTTCTGTTCCTAAAATAAGAAAGAAAAGAGGCTAAGTAGATAAACAGAAAATGCGGGTAAAAATTTTGGTACATCTTAACTCAGCTTACACACTGAGAAGGTTCAGTGTTCTGTACTTCATGCATGTGTTTTTTTTAATGACTCAATGAGTTACATATCTAGATAGCGTGTCTTCAAATTTATATCTTATTTGTTTAAGTGTAAAGTAGCACAACAAACAATACCTAGAATAATGTGTATTTACAATTCTCTCTATAGGCGGTTCCGTATTCTAGGGAGTTCAAACAGAAGTATGACTATTTCAGGAAGAAGTTGAAGAAACCCGTGAGTATAAGCGTGCTGCTTTGTGCTGGGGTCTGTTACGTCTGGGGAGAACAAGTGAGTTGTCCTCAGGGTAGATACAGAGGAGTGTTTCTTGCTGTAGCACATTTGCCAGTGATTCTTGGTTGCCATACTCCTCAAAGGAGTGGAAATGAAGACAGTGAAGAAAAGTTTGAATTTGGTGGATTTCTGAACAAAAACATTTACGTATCTTTAAGACGCTCATTTTCTGGTATGAACAGAAAACCCAAAGTGATGACAGAGGAAGGAAATGTCATCTACTCACTGATTGACATTTCTCCTTCATCTTTAATGGTGGATTTGAAGGACAGAGCTGGAGAACGCTGGTAGAGTGGAGCCCACAGCATTACTGAGTCAGGCACAAGCTTCTGGTGTTCCTGTTCTGCAAAAATACCTCCTTTAATTTCAGTGAGCAGTAGGTATTGGCCCACACCTGGGGTCAGCTGGTGATTCGCTGCAGACAGCCTTTGTAGCACGAGCCCTGATGCAATGGGGCTCGCCAGTGCCTTTCTCTCTTTGCTGGTAGTTCCTTCCGTGTGCATTCTGACCAATGACCAGATGGACACAGTAAGCACCTGCAGGAAAAAGCAAACCTCTTGACACACTGCTATTGGGTCAATCTTACCAGGAGAACTGTACCTGCCTGTAACTGTCACGAGTTCACCCAGTCTTGTGCCTCTGTTTTCATATGCTTTATCCAGTTCTGTCCTGCCTTTTTGAATTTCTGGGCTAAATCTTAATGACTACTAGTGCTCTCGTTTTTCAGACAGAAATTCTCAAGCATTTTGGCAGTCCTGTTCTATTTTGTTCAGTTCTGCTTTATGCGCAGTGAAACAGTTCTGGCCTTTACAGGTATCCAAGTGAAAGGGCAACATGAAGCATCGTGTTTGTTATCATGGAATCACAGAATAGTTTGGGTTGGAAAGGACCTTTACGATCACCTCATTTCAACCCTGCTAGGCAAGGACACCTCCCACCAAACCAGATTGCTCAAATCCAGCCTGGCTTTGCAGCTGTCATGCCCTTTAAATTCAACACAATAAAACTAATATTGTTCTCTCTTCTTTGTTGTTGCATTTCATGTTGTTCTCAGTGTTTTACCAAGTATCATAGAAATCTCTGATCCCTGGGACTGGAACATACCCAGTTCACTGTAATCTGTCAACCTGTATTGGAAAACAAGCATAAGGAGAAACTTGGCACACTCAGATGTCAAATCCATCCTTTAGTTTTTAACCTCTAGTCCGTAATTCCCTGAAGATCGTGTATTCAGACTGATAAGTAAAATGTACTCTCCTTTCACACAGGCTGATATACCAAACAGATTTGAGATGAAGCTACACAGGAATAATATTTTTGAGGAGTCCTACAGAAGAATTATGTCTGTGAAAAGACCTGATGTACTGAAGGCCAGGCTCTGGATTGAATTTGAGTCAGAAAAAGGACTTGACTATGGAGGTGTGGCCAGAGAGTGGTTTTTTCTCTTGTCCAAGGAGATGTTCAACCCTTATTATGGTCTTTTTGAATATTCAGCAACGTAAGTGTTCATTAAAATCTTTCCATTTGCAATTAGATTTTGCATGAGCAGGGAGGTTACATTTGGCAGTAGTTAGGTCATCCTTCGTGACACAGTTGTGCACTCTTGTCAGTCAGAGCTGCGCTCTCATTTCTTTTGTCCTTCTTGAGGACCTTTCATGTCACATAAAGCATTCTCACTATTAGGACAGTGTTTCGTGTTGCCTTACTGGCAGCAGCACAAATTGCCGTTTCTGGGGCGAGCAGTAGCAAGTGGAGTGATGCAGACAAAAGACTATTTGTGCCCTCCCAGAGCATCATAAAACACCTGCCTTCCAGAATTGTACTGCTTCTTTGTAATTAGCTCACAAAACAGCTTCTCGTTTACATTTCAGTAGCCGCACAACAGCGGTCCTGCATGAATTCAAATGCATTCATGTCCAATTTTAAAACCCTCAGTGGTTCATTTATGTTAATGAGAGAGCCAAGTCTCCTGCTTAAAGCACATTCCTTTTGTGTCTGCCTCTGTAATCCCACACCGTGTGCTTAACCACAGGAGGGATGGATTTCTTCATTGCAACAGTTCTTACGTTTTCACCTCAGTGTCATGCTCACTCCTTTCTCTTATGAGTGTTGAATGAGTGGTAAAGTAGATGAACAAAGGCTGTGCAGTGAGAGTTTTCTCACATTTGTGTCTCGGAAAAAACACGTTCTGATTTTGGAGGGAAGCTCAGCTTAGAGAAATACATGCTAGCTCAGAATGCCCCTGGGTTAATAGATTACTGGGTGGTGTGTTTTGCAATAGCACTTCCACTTCTGTGGTTTAAGTTGCTGCAAGTCCTTTAAAAGTAACTCTGTTCTCATGTGAAGTTCGCTTTCATGGAAAGGAGTGTTTTAAATTGTGAACATTCACAGTGGATTGATTCTGTGCTGTAAAGTTCAGTAAAAACATACTGGGGAAGGCCTGCTTATAACCAGTGAATCTGGAGGCAGTATTGCCCTGAACTTTGCACCATGCACACAGATGGAAAAGGTGAATTTAAAATTAATTGTACTTAACCCCACAACCAGGAGGATTATGAGGAGCCTTTGTCAGATCATCGTTGTGACCATTAATGCAGCATAGACAAGAAGTGGCCCTGAGCTCACGTTGTTTATTAACATGCCTAAATATCTGTTTACTCAAAGATGTGATGATTTAGATTTTTTTCTTGCTTTCTTCAAAAAAGGGACAACTACACGCTTCAGATTAACCCCAATTCAGGTCTTTGTAATGAAGATCACCTTTCTTATTTCACATTTATTGGACGAGTGGCTGGCCTGGCAGTGTATCATGGGAAGCTGCTGGATGGTGAGTTACTGCACTGTGGCTATGCTACTGCAGCTGGACTTTTGTTAAATAAATCACTTTGATAATTAATGTGTGTCAGAGTGTAGTGCATCTGGAAATAAAGTTAGAATGAAAGTATTGAACTGGAAGCTTTGGAGATTGTATTCCTACTGTCAATGGAGATTTTGTCAAAATTGTAGCATCTTGCTCGACCAAAACATTTCTCATAAAGCTCTGCTTCCTTCTTCACTCTTGTTAATCTCCCTTTCTAAATAATGTCTATGGTAAAGGATGACCACTGCATTTGTATCAGGCCTTTCCATGCAAAACAGCTGAAGCTGGAACAGTTGCATGGGTACCAAGTGCAGCATGCGTGTTTTGTAAATCTGTTTCCCATTGATATAACAATTAATTAAATTTTTTTTCTGGGTTTCAGAATCCCAGAATAGCCAAGCAAGCAGTGATACAGACTGTCTACATTTTAGTTAGTGGTACTGCCTACAACACTGCATTGTGTTTGAGAGAGGAGGGACAGGTGGAATACCTTCAGCTCAGAGCTCCATCTTCTGTGCCTCTACCACTGAACTGATATTAATTGCACTGGTGTAATTCTTGTGATTAAAAGAAGGACTTTCTGTGTCTGAATTAAAAACGAGCCTCCTGTTAACCTGAGCAGTTACAGCTCAGGTTTCTTGCGGGTATTTCTTTGCAAATGTGTGGTGCTCTATCTTAGAGCAGGCTGTCCTTGAGTAAGGTGGAAATGCAGAGTAGTGGAAGTAATGCTTTTCCCCTCTGTTTTAGGCTTCTTCATCAGACCTTTTTACAAGATGATGCTGGGGAAGCCAATAACGCTGAAAGACATGGAATCAGTGGTAAGGACATTTCACTCTTACCAGCTCCAGAAATTACTTGAGGATTTTTCCTTTCGGGAAATCAATATAATTAATAAATTAATTAATTTCTCCTTCACCTTTCTCTCTGTTCTGTACCCATGCCCAGAACAGAGACCTTTCCCCAAGGCGGCTGTGGATGCCCCATCCCTGCAGGCATTCAGGGCCAGGCTGGATGTGGCTCTGGGCAGCCTGGGCTGCTGTTGGCGACCTGCACACAGCAGGGGGTTGGAACTGATGAGCACTGTGCTCCTTTGCAACCCAGGCCATTCTAGGATTCTTTCTCTCCCTCCCTTTCTTTCATCAGTCTTTAATTGTGAAGCTAATAGATAAAAAAGATGCAGCCCTTTCAGGAAGTGTTAACTTTTACTAATAACAATGTAATCAGTTGTTTTATAATACATAAATATTGATGTAATCAAGTGGTGTATCTATTGTGTTGAAAACAACAGCTTCATCCCAGAGGTATTCTTTAACCAATTACTACATGTTGCCATGTACACATGTACCAAATATATATGTACAATCAGTTTATTGCATAATAACCCTTAGTTACAAAGCAGCTAAGGGAACTTACACAAATCTGAAATTGTACCAGGTGAAAAGCACAAAGATCAGTCATATCCTCCTTTACAGTAGCTGTGCCAGTAAACAGACTCCAAGCTCTCTGCAGCCCCCTGGAGTTCTAGATTTAAGTGCCTTTATCTCTTTAATGTTTTTATTTTCAAACCTTGTTTAATTTTAATCTCCTGTAGGACAGTGAATACTACAACTCCTTGAAGTGGATCCTGGAGAATGACCCTACGGAGCTGGATCTCATGTTCTGCATAGATGAGGAAAACTTTGGACAGGTATGTAAACACTAACCCAGAAGTCTGTAATTCCATCTTACTGGTCATTGCCAAAAAGTAATTAACTACTGGGCAGTATCTCATGGTTGTGGACTTAACTGGGACTGCTGTATGTTAATCATCAATACAGGCAGACTTTGACTTTCTTACTGAACTATTTAAATCTTGAGATGCCAAAGAAGGAGATTGTATTCTTGCCCATGAGCAACACAGTGCCTTGCTGAAAGGCAGTATTTGAGGCTAATAAAAGACAGGATCCTCATTAGAAGTGAACTCAGCCTGGGACTGTGTGGGGTTCTACAGTTGAAGATGTTCTCAAAGAACACGAGAAGAGGTAGAATTATAAGCAGCAGAATACCCTTCTAAGACTCTTTTAGTAGTGCAGGCAGATGATACAACAAAAGGAAGTTGTTTGTTTTGCAAAGATTCACAATTGTTTCTGTTACAACAAAAAATGTTCTGGTCACACTTGAGAACCAGTAATGATGATGGAATTTTAAGTCCTCTTGGCTGTATCCTGTTTCAGCTTACCTAACTCAGTGAGCTACAGATAAATCCCAATAGCAGCTGATACAATCTTGTTTCCATCATACTGCTCGTGAGAGGCAGAACTGCATGACAGATTTTATCACAGAAAAGCCTGAAGCTCAGTAATATCAGGGTAGGATCTGCTGTACTGCAGAGTAAGCTAGATGGGTAGAGACTGGAATGCCTCATGCATGTAAATGCTTGCAGGATGTTTCTCAACAATTCAGAAGCTGTAAAACATGGCAGATAATGAGTAATTTGTCTGCTTCTGCATTTGCCACTTACTTCCTACTTACTGGTGCCAAAACTCTGGGGACTCATAGAAGTCATAAGACCACAGAATCAACCACGGCTGTAAAAGGCCACCACAATCATCCAGTCCAACCTTCCCCATACCACCAATACTTCCCACTAAACCATGTCCCTCAGTACAACATTTGAACATTTCCTGAACACCTCCAGGGATGGAGACTCCACTTACTGCTTGTTTTGTCTCAGGCAGCACAGTGCTGCTGAAACTTGTGGAACTTGGTTAGGAGACTGTACTGCTTCCACACAGATGTTCAGTATGTGAAAGACTTGCATTGCTGTAAGCTTCTGTGTTTGCTTATACTTCAGTTATCACCAGAATCTTTCTTGAATTAAAGGAAAAGCAAGATGAATCTGATATGTGATGGATAAGAATAGGATTTTGCTAGTGCTCACAAATGAGTAAGAAAGTATTTTCAAGATAGAAAGGATGGAAAGCGTCCTTCAGAAGAGGAGAGAATGTTGTCTCTCTTTCTAGTAAGTTCACAGATCTTAATCACAGACTCAGCCTGGGGCGGGCAAGGCCCTCCAGCCCTCCCTGCCCCAGCTGTGCCAATAATCTTTTCCCAGCACTTTGAAGAATTAGAAGGCATTTTTCTGTCCTTTTGAAGATGGGAGGATGTGTTTTCTTTGCCAAATTTTACCTGACGTTTTGCAATAGAAGTTGCAAAATGATTTACTCTGAAGAGTGACCATAGAATCATTTCTTCCTAATTACGTCATCTTTAAACGTGAAATATTTTGATGTCTCATTAGCTATTGCAGTGTAATAATTTTCTAGTCCTGCTTGTAAAATGCCTCTCGGGGGTGGTGGATTTCATGAGAAGCATGTCTTGAAATAATAATGCCCTGTTGTATTTTGTTCTTTCTTTAAAATACAGACGTATCAAGTCGACCTGAAGCCAAATGGGTCAGAAATCATGGTAACAAATGAGAACAAAAGGGAATACATCGAGTACGTATATGTTTGTAGAGTTTACCCTGAGTTTAACAACAGACAGTGGTAATGCTTTGGAATTTACCTCACTGCAGTTACTGTAGCACAAAGAATTGTCAGAAGTCCTTTTAAAAGAAAATCACTTTGTTAACACGGTTTGTTCACACTACTAGGAAGTTGGAATATTAACCTTTTTGTTCAATGAATTACTCTAATTAAGGCAGCCTGTGTCATGTAGTAGGAAGCAGTATTTTCTTGATGTGTTGGCATAAGGAGTACTCAAGGAGCCGTGGAATTGCCCCCGGTGGCTGCAGACACCAGTCTAACTTACTCATTCTGAGCACCCTCCAAAATTGATGCAAAGATGGCATTTCCTGGATACAAGAATTACATTACAGCAGCATATGAATCTGGCCTGATTTCATGCCTCATTTTCTGCACTGGCTGCCCACCTAGGTAACTGCCTCTGCTTTGTGGGTCTCCTAAGCAGTATATTTCCACCCTGGGCTGCAGTTCTTCCTGATGCAGTGCTATCACAGAATGCAAATGAAGAATAAGTGCAGATCTGAACAATAAACTAATGAGACAAAAGAGTGAAAATAGCAAACATCGTGTTGCTGAGGTCACATTTGCTTCCCCTTTAGTTTTCATTCAAGGAAGGTTTTGGGATCTCTGCACGTGTTTAAGTACTCCTTTAAGAGGAATACTCTGCACTTTGTTCACCTCCTGTGCAGTGTGGTATTGCAGCAAAGTGACTGTAACAGCAAAACAATAACAAGTTCCCCGTTTTATTATTTGTTTTCTGCTCTTAGTTTGACTGTGCAGCATATATTCACGCCGTCAGCAGTTTAGTTTTTCAGGCATTCAGGCAGTTTTTGTTGGTTTACAGATGCAAAGTATTAGATGCCATAAACACTCTCCATCTCTGCCATCTCCATGTAGTAAAGCAATAAAGAAGAGCTCTTTGAAAAGGTGTGTGCCAAAACAAAGAGCTAAATTGCACCTCCACCTCAGTAATTCTAGATGAATGCTAATGTGGTGTTTTTATAACTTCAGAGTCCATGCTTGTGGTTATATACACTCATTTCTTAGTGTTTGATGCAGTTTAATTTTTTCTAGTGCTTTTTCCAAGAGTTGTGTTATCAGTGAGGAGTTCTAGTTGGTGCACAAGGGAAAAAAGGAGAGAAAAAAAAGAAAAGGAAAGAAACTGCAGTTGTAGTCACAGAATCACAGATATCACAAATATACTTATGGCTCTGGAATGTAAAAAAAAAACTCATCATTTAGGTACCTAATTCTTACAGTAAGTACATTATCCAGGGTCTAGACTATAGAATTTGTAGGCTGCATAATTTAATAAAAAGCAACTTCTCTAATATAAAAGTATGATTGAGAGATACCTAAAGTTGTAAATGAGAAGCTGGTATTGTTAGGGTTGCTCATTAGTCTTCTAATGAATGTGTTTATGTTTTTAACTCCCATAGCCTGGTAATCCAGTGGAGATTTGTAAACAGAGTTCAAAAACAAATGAATGCTTTCTTGGAGGTAAGGTTTTCTTTTTTGTCTTCCTTTTTACCCAAACTATGTACACATACATCAGTATCTGGTTGGAGGAGTGGGAAGTTGTGCATGACCACACAGGCTCTGCTGGTCTCCTAAGATCATTCTCATTCAAGTTGCCATTATTTGAGCTTGAAACAGCAGTTTTTAAATTAGAAACTCATAATACTTCAGGAACTGCATATTTCGTTTTCCAAACCCTTCTTTGCCCTCCATCACTTACTTAGCTCACAGCTTTCTCCAAAGGCAAAAGTTCTATCAGATAAAACTGTAATCATACATAGTTTGCTAATTTTACTTTTTCCCTTAGGGATTCACAGAACTTCTTCCTATCGATCTGATTAAAATTTTTGATGAAAATGAACTAGAGGTGAGTTGGTTTATGTCCAGAGGCGACAGATTGGTAATGCTCATTGCAAAGATGGGTGACAATCTCAGTTCACTGGTCATCGTGGAGTTTGGAGACAAAGGTTCTTTGCGTTCGTGGGGAATGAGGATTTTTTTCCCCCAAAATTAATAAATCTATCAAGTAAAAGCAGAGAAAGTATCAGTTACTCAATGAGGTGGTTGAGTACATGCATATGTAAAGAATGCAAGTAGCTTGCTGCATTAATGACATGTACTGGTCACGTTTCAGCAAATATGCTGTAAAAGACACTGTCACATGAAGCATACATACTGCATACTGCACAGTGTTTCTCCAGTAAAGTGGTGGAATCTTTGAGAATTCTCCTGAAGAGAAGCTCAGTACCACTTTATGTCTGTATTTGTATAGTGTTAACTTTGAGAGGTCAGGCAACAGAGGGAGAGGAGAGGTGTTTTTTTTCTGATGGAGCACTCAGGGTAGTCCTGGTACTATCCTCAATTAACAACGCATCAATTATTTCCGTGTTTAGTTACTGATGTGTGGCCTTGGGGATGTTGACGTTAACGACTGGAGACAACACACAATCTACAAAAATGGCTACTGCCCAAATCATCCTGTCATCCAGTGGTTCTGGAAGGTAAGGCTCTCAGCGCATTCGGTTTCTCTGACTATACCTGGAAGTCAGAGATCCCTTAGTGTGTTGTGGAGTCAGTTATGAAATCCTTTTTCTTCTCAAAAACTACTGGAAAACACGTTGGTAGATGCTGGAAATGGCAGTTGTCATCCTTAATGGAGTCTGCATTGGAACGGCCCATGGTTGACAAAGTCTCTCTGGTTTTATTAAAGTGCTTTGTAATCTTTCTGAAATACAGTACCTCTATGAAAAGTGTGTATTTGCAGGAAAACCAGAACAGTTTTCCTGTACTGCAGAAGTACTGTGAGTCACCTTGTACAGACGAATGGCAGTTGTGGTTCCTGGCTGTTGCCTGGGCATTGTCACTTTCCTTGCTATAAGCAGAAAAGAATTCTTGTTTAACCAGAGAGAACGTAGCATGCTGTCCTTCGAAGCTAGATATCTATTTCTTACCATGTAATACAAACAAATTCTGTTTTGCTTATTTCAACAATGACACCTTCAGCCACGACAAGTCACCCTGTCTGCTTCTCCACAGGCTGTTCTACTGATGGATGCAGAAAAACGCATTCGGTTACTGCAGTTTGTTACTGGGACGTCACGAGTGCCTATGAATGGATTTGCTGAACTTTACGGTAAGCTTCCTGCCCTCTGCCTGCAGATCACATGCTGCAGGTGGCTCCTCAGGAGAGCACAAACACTGCTGAAATACGGGCATGGCCAACCTTTACTCCCATATAAAACTCCTTGCACTGAATGCCAGCAGCGCTGGAGAAAATGTGGGCACTGGAAGGGAAGCATAGTTTTGTTCATAGAATCACAGAATCGTATGAGTTGGAAAGAACCTTTAAAGGTCATCTAGTTCCAACTGCCCTGCAGTGAAGGGGACATATAGAGCTAGATCAGGTTGCTCAGAGTCTGAGCTCAGAATTTCAGGTCCAGCCTGACCTTCAATATCTCCAAGGACAGTAAATCCACCACATCTCTGGGCAGCCTGTGCCAGTGCTTCATCATGGAATAATAAAATGGCCACGGTTGGAAGGGACCTCAAGGATGATGAATCTCCAGCCCCCTGCCACACGCAGGGCCACCAACCTCCACATTTCAGAGCAGCCCAGGCTGCCCAGGGCCCCATCCAACCTGGCCTTGAACACCTCCAGGGATGGACGGGGCATCACAGCCTCTCTGGGCAGCTGTTCCAGCACCTCACCACTCTCATTGCAAAGAACTTCCCCCTGATATCCAATCTCAGTCTTCCCTCCTTCAGCTTAAAACCATTTCCCTTTGTCCCCCATGTTCACCATGGGTGTTCTGCTGATGTTCTCCTTGCCCAGGAAGTATCAAATCCCTCAAAGAAAATGTCAACTGTAGTAAAGCTCATAGCACATGGAGAAGAGGAGATTGGAGGTCTATGCAAGTGTGTTGGTTTTTTTTCTAGCTTACCTCTTTCACATGGTATGTGCTCTAACCGAAGAGTAGCTTGGTGAACTTACTAAATTGACTGCATTTGGAAATAGTATATATCCACATCACTATTTGCTTTAATGTAATTTTGACCTAACGGTGTTTGCACAAAGTATTTTGTACCAGTTGGAAGTGGAAGTTAAAATTAGAGTAAACGGGGCAATGCGATTTTTCATACAGCAATTGAAGTCGTTTCGGTAGGGTCCAGTAACTCAAGTTTCTTTTTTTTTTCCAACTAGGTTCAAACGGTCCTCAGCTGTTTACAATAGAGCAATGGGGAACTCCTGATAAACTGCCCAGAGCTCACACATGGTGAGTCCAGAGCGTGTGTGTTCAGCCATCTGTGCATGAGACTGAGTGCAGGTGGGTCTGGTGTGTGTGTCACAGTATGTTTGTGTCCTAAAAAGAATAGAAGATGTTATTTAACAGATAGAAAATCAACGCATGGACTGGGCAGGCAGACACACACACATGGAAACATGAGAAAGGTGATGTGGTTGGTGCTGGCTGATGGACGTGCATGCTGGCTGCCTGTGTATCCACAGCTCACTCATCCTCATGCAGATCCATGCATTTATTTTCCACGTTTTACGTAGCAGTTTTTTTCCCCTTCAGGGGTGGTTAAGAGCAGAAACCTTCCTACTTTCCTACCTGAAAGCTCTCAGGTTGGCCTCATGGTACCCATGGGAAACAGCTGGCAGTGGTTAGGTGTGCACAGCCCCTGTTTCTCCAGTTGGATATATGCTCCTGTCTCACGCCCAAGTTATTCAACCTTTTCCATTGCTCTCAAAAAAGGCACTTGAAGCATTCAAGTGACTCCATTTTCCTTTCCCTTCTGAATTTCAGCTTTAATCGCTTAGACTTACCTCTTTATGAATCCTTCGACGACCTGCGAGAGAAGCTCCTGATGGCAGTTGAAAATGCACAAGGATTTGAAGGAGTGGATTAGGGCACTGCTTCCCACCTTTCGGCGCGTTCTGCTGCGCTTCCACTCCTCCACGTTGGACTCTGACTGTGGCAGAACCGTTGCACAGCGCTGGTTCCTGGAGCAAACTCTTCGACAGTGCGTGGCCTAAATGCAGAATCTTGAACTCTGGTCTGTGGAAGGCTTTTTTGGCATTTCCACAGCCAGTTACTATGGGGTTATATGTACTCTGATTACATTTCAGCAGGACTTACTGTATTTATGTTGTGCCTCTGTAGGCTGAGCCCTTAATAAAAATTTTACATAATTTCTAATGACAATGAATGAAATTAATCATTTTACAGGGATAGTGTTACAGCTCATGTTTACTTTTTAATTGATTTAGACATTTTCAGATTATATTTCATTGCAATTAAATTTCATGTACGTGGGGGATAAATGAGCATTTTTTCTTAATTTCTTACCAGACTTGATGCCAGTGTCATTTTTTTCAAGCTCATTTTGAGCCTTGTGTTCCCAAACTCTTAGGAAAATAGGAGATAGTTATCTTGGAATTCTTCTCTATATTGGCTATATCAAGAGCACATAAATATTTTTCTGTATCTGGAAGAGGTATGGATTCTATGTTGCATTTTTGTATAAATAATAGTTATGAGTCGAGGGACAGTCATAACATAGCATGCCAAATCTCATGTTCAATAAAGAAATTGCCTCATTATTCCTTGGTGATATTTACATGTACTGAAGAACATTTTGGGGTAGGGTTGGCATTAATCATTTAGGAAAATATGCTTAACCCTGTCATTATCTTTGTGTAGTGGTTCTTTTGTTATCCTTTCCTCTTTACTGTGTGCAGTGGAGGCATTTTGAAGGAAACCTGGCAGTGTGTGATTTGGCGTGATGGAAAACAGATCTGTTTTGTCTCCTATTTGTATGCATTTGCTAATGATATCTAAACACGGTATCTTTTTGTTTCTAACTGCACCAACTCTAAAGGCACTTTATGTAACACATTGAAGTCATATCTGTGTTTTTTTTTATCATAAACATTACTGTGATTATGTTCCTTCTCACTGCACATGTCTTTCTGGTGCAATATCTATCAATTGTGAGTTTGGCTGCTGCTGATGTATAAGAGGAAAAAAACAAACAGCTGTAGAGCTGAGCCTGCAGACATGTTCCTCAGCAATTGTTTTTGTGATTTATTTTTTACTTAATCACAAAGATTTATTTAATATACACTGCTATCTATCTAATCAGTTTTGTTACCTATGACATGTTGCATGCCTAAACTATAATGTCTTGAGTTGCATCTCTTGTGTGATGGATTAAAAGTGAAAGATTTGTATTTGACCCGCTGAACTTAAATGGCTACAGCACTGCGGCAGGAGGTGTGAGGGTACGGCTGCATAGCAGGTGGGGTCAGTTTTGCCTTTTGTGCAGCACTTTTCCCCAGGAGCCCACCTGATGCTTTGTGGAGCGAGGTGGTACAGCGTGGAAGCAGGAGGTCACCTCTCTGCCCAGCGCTTTGCAGCACCCACCAGAGGCACTGCCTGCTGCTGGCACGGAGCAGCCACCCCATGGACCTCAGCAGAGCAGTATCTTAGGGCAAAAGGCCACTGAAAAGAAGGCTTAATGCTAATCACGTTCAGCAAGTGCTGTGTGCATGGCAGCAAAAGGTTTGAGGAGCTAACAGATGCATGAAGGTGTTTTAGCATTTGAACACCAGACTTACCAATTCTCTTGACGTCCCTTTCTAACCTTTTGCACTTTATAAACCCTTTGCACTCATAAACCCTTGAACAAGAGAAATAAGTGCATTTCAGTGGGTAAACAAACACAAACAGCACGATGATTTATTGGGGGGGGGAGATGGAGAGGATAGGGTAAATCCACAACCTCCTTGGCAACCAGTGTGTCCAAGGAGGCTGTGGATGCCCCAGCCCTGCAGGCATTCAAGGCCAGGCTGGATGTGGCTCTGGGCAGCATGGGCTGGGGATTGGTGACCCTGCACACAGCAGGGGGTTGGAACTAGATGAGCAATGTGTCCTTTGCAACCCAGGCCATTCTGTGATGCTATGAAATCCAAGCATCTGCACAGATAGACATTATAGACATTATAGACATGAATGCCCAGTGCCATATACCTGAAAGCACTCCTGAGATTTTTTTGGCAGGACTGAAATCCAGCCTCACGCAAAGGCTGTGACCCAACAGCAGTGCAGCTGAGATGGGAGCAGAAATCAGGATATTTCAGAATCACAATCGTGCTTTGATCCTGTCAGCGGTTTACATCAACAGTTAAACAGTTAAACTCCCAGTGCACTACATGATGTTATGGGACACCAATCACCAATAATCATCGAACCATGACAGATCCCTCCCAGCATCTTCCCTTACTGATGCTTCCTTTAAAGTCCTTTCAGGCTGAAAAGGAAATGTGTTTGTGGGAACACTTTAATCTTCCATATGATCATTGGAGATGACTTCCCTTAATTATTTTTAACGCGCTGTCTCAGTGAGTGGGCCCTTGTGCAGTGCCCTTGGCCTTGTGCAGCTCATGCTGAAATCCGTGCTATGTTGGCATTCTAGCAATTAATGAAAATAGTTTAAAAACGCCATTTGTGCCTCTTGTGCCCAAAGAACTGCAGTCACAGCCCCTACAGCAGCTCTCACATCAGAAAAGAAGTCACTTTTGTTCAAGAAACAGCTTTGTTCGATGCTTCATCAACGAAATTATTCCTAATTGCCCAGGTGACCATAACAGGAAGCCAGCCCATTACTTCTCAGTGTCCTCATGAGCTGCACTATTACAACACACCACTGTGTTTTGACTTTGCATGTGCAGCTTTGGAGCACAACAGCTCCCCTCACTGCAAAGTGAACCTCTCCTCGTCCTTTTGGGATTCAGATTGCCAATGAGCATGGCTACATCAGTATCATCACCAAAATAAGGTGAAGGGAACTGCTCAGCCCAGTCCCTCTGCTGCACAGAGCTTTACTACCCCAGCATTGCGCACACAGAACACACTTCAGATCAATCACCAGGAAATGACTCATTTAAAACTTTCTATCGTGTTAATAAACGGCAATGTGTTATTTCCTGAGCCATTACTTCTTGGCTCGTGCAAAACCTTACAGCAAACTCGTGGCAACTTGCAGTCACAGTGTAGAGCAGGCATGTCCATGCTGCAGCCCACCACCAGCATGGCAGGGACAGAGCTCCTCTCCAGCAGGTCAGCCCCTAACCTGGACTGATGCATGGGGTTACTCCTCCCCAGGTGTAGGGCTCAGCACTTGCTCTTGTTAAACCTCATCTTGTCCCTCCCTGCACACTTCTCCAGTCTGTCCAGGTCCTGATAAATGGCAGCACGGCCCTCTGGTGTGCCAGCCACTCCTCCCAGCCTCGTATCATCAGCAAACTCGCTGAGGTTGGACTCTATCCCTTCATCCAGGTCACTGATGAAGATGTTGAACGAGACCAGACCCAGCACTGACCCCTGGTGAGCTCTGCTTTGACAGCCTCCAACCAGGCTGTGCTGATCACAGCCCTGTGAGCTCTGCCAGCCACCAGCTCTCAGTCCACCTCACTGCCCACCCATCCACTGCACACCTCCTGAGTTTCATTACAAGAATGCTGGAGGAGAAAGTCTGCCATCTCCAGAAAGGTGCACCATGAAAGCACAGCAGAAAACGATAGCCGCCTTTCTTGTAGCTGCATTTTCCATTACCCAAGTTCAGACCATCAGGGTATGCAGTTTTCCAGCTCTTGGAATTACAAGACCTGAACAGGAACTAGATGTGAAGGTTTGCAGGTCTGGACATTCGGTGTTGTACCTTGCTTTGCTGTATTGTGATCAGACAGCAAGCTGAGGTCTTTGCAAAAAGTTCCAGATGATGCATGATGGCTGGTCAGTGCCTACAAGTGAAACATGGTTGGGTTTCCTACTGACACAAAGAGGACACAGCTCCTCTTGATGGCCTCTCTGCACCCCACTGCCCCAGTCAGCCTTCAGAGAAACACCCCACTGCCACTGGCTTTGCAGAAGTCAAGGGAGCCTGTCACTGAGCTAGGTCCCCAAAATAAGGCTCTCTGAGTATCAAATAGGCAATGATATATATTAACAGGGAGTGCAATCAGGTTAACCATGAAACTTCAAATTTAATCTTTGCCCAGCTTGAGCCTGGTAAAATTGAAATTCTCCTTTGGACTTGAATACAGTGAGCTTGACATGGATGCACTCTGGTCCATGAAAAATGTATCATCTACTGGCACAATAACGCTTGCAAATAGCAAAGATAAGAAGGTAATACTTGCACCATGGTTTCCAGCAGTGCAGTACTATCTCACCTTGAAAGATGAAGCTGGCAAAGACAAGTGCACAAGTTGTAACCACCACTTCATTTCTGCTGTGTGCAAAAACAGGTGCCAAAAACCTGGGGCATCTGCTTGTTCTACTAATTAGGACTAATTACTTGCCCCATTTTGTCAGGCTACGTACTGCAGCGTGGGTAGACGTCTACATGTGCCTATGGCATAGAGGTTTTCAGAACAGGGTACTGAGCTGCCCTCCAGGTCGCTGTGTTTTTATCCCAGATCTCTGTCACTTCTTGATTAGACAGAGGATGTGACCTCCTCCTGCATTCAGTTTTTAAACTAAAAGCAAAACTTTGAACCTTGGCCTAAAGTTAAAGAATAACAGAGATGGACACTGGATCGATACCAGACAAATATTAGTCCCATGCAGTGGACAGATGCTGCTCTGCTGTAGATCTAACTCTTTCAGTATGCCAATGTGGAATCTTTAGGTTTAAAGGTTTCTTTACGTACAGAAAAAAAGAAAAAACACTTTGAAGTAGCTGGAGGTTAATATTCTGTGCTAATCCAGCCATCTCCTTCCTCCCAGAGCTGAGAACAGAGCGCTGCAAACAACATTCTCTATCTTCTGCCATCCCAGTCACTTCCTATATTCCAGAGCATTATTTCTGTGAAAAATCATTTTTAAGAAAATTGCCCAATTTTGAGCAGCTTCCTAGTCAAGCATGCAGACATTCAATAATAGTAAGCATACGCTACTTAGTGATAATGTAAACAGAAGCTGTGATAACATTTCCTCAACTCAGACCCAGCTGTGCCCCTGGGTTAAAACAAGCATCAGTCAAAATCATGATTTCACCTCTATGAGGGCAGTTCTGCTGCACCAGAAGAATATGAACTGGAAAATTGTAGGCTGAGGTGCAAAGGCATTGCTAGGGGGATTGCAGCAGTCCACATCAAGCCACAGCTGCAAGGGAAACAAATACGGTCTTCAGAGTGTCAGAGGCCTTTCCTCTGACAAGCACGAAGGAGAATGACCTTGGAAAATAGAAAATCAGAATATTTCAGGGCGTAACATCAAACAGCAGCAGGAGTGATATTTAGCATAAATCTGGGGCTTGATGGACTGCTGCACATGCTCAAAATTAACCTGCAGAAATAACTAATCAGGCTTTCTACTTGGACAGTGGCCAACAAGAAGATGCCATTTTCTGGGGCCTCTGAGGGTCAGTGCATATACACACACATCTCCATACCACCTTTTATCTGTGCTGCAGGCATCTGTTTAAATAGCTCTGTTTGAGCTATCTGTCCATACAGGGGACAGGGGTGCAGTGACCACACGGTCAGCCCAGCTGGTCCCCACCAGTTGTCTGCTTGTCCTTGGCTACTGCCTGCTT